GAAGGTCCAGTAAAGGAGACAAGAGTGAGGGTCAAATGGGTATGAGGAGAACCAGGAGAGCAAAGTACCTCGAAAGAAAACATAGAATATGAAGTTGAGAAGGGTGATCCACAGTGTCAAAAATTGAGGTAAAAAAGGAAGAGGATTGAGAAGAATATCATTGGATTTGGCATTTAATAGAGCATTCTTGTATTGTTGGTGGAGTTGTGAACTAGTTCAACCATTCTGGAAAGCAGTTTGGAATTTACTCCAAAAGCTATTAAACTGTGCATACCCTTTGACCCAGCAATAGATATAGATATAGACCGAGGTCTATACTCCAAAGAAATCAAAGAAAGAGGAAAAAGACTCCTATGTACAAAAACATTTATAGCAGCTGTTTTCGTGGTGGTAAAGTATTGGAAACTAAGGGAGTACTGTCAGTTAGGAAATCACACAAGTTAAGGTATAGGAAAGTGATGGAATACTATTTCTCTGTGAAAAGTGAAGGGGATGGTTTCAGAAAAATCTGGAAAGACCCATATGAACTTATGTAGAGTGGAGTGAGCAGAACCAGGAGAAGAATTTTACAATAACAACAATATTGTAAAGGAAATGAACTTTAAAACACTTAGGAAAGCTGAGTCATACAGTGATAAAGCATGCTATTCATCTCCAAGTAGAGCACTGATGGACTCAGTACAAATTGAAGTATCTTATCTTTTCTTTCTTTTTTTGGACATGGCTAATGTGGCAATTGATTTTGCACAACTATACATATTTTTAAAGAATTTCCTTTTTCTTCTCAACTGGTAGGAGAAGGGAGGGAGGAAGAAGAGAGTTTAGAACTGAAAATAAAATAAAATTGAATTAAAAAGAGAGAGAGCATCAGTAACTTTGTGTAGAGAGCAGTTTCTTTTGAATGATGGGGTTGGTAACGAGACTGCACAGAGTTAAGACAGGGAAAAGACAGAAAGTGGAGGCTTCTACTACAGCTGGCCATCTCGAGGAGTTATCTGAAAAAAAGGAGGAAAGATATGGGATGATAGTTAGAAGGGATGGACAGATAAGTAAGACTGTTTGGAGGGTGAATGAAACATGAGCATGTTTGTTAGCAATAGAACAACAGTAGACAGGGAGCTATTGAAGATTAGTGAGAATAGGCATGATAGAGAGGACAATCTGCTGGAGATGATATGGAATGGGATCACTGGTGCATGTGGTTAATTTAATCCCTTTACACTTGATAAATATCTACTCCCTGCCCTCTCCCCTTATTGTTTTTTATGGAGGGGATTCTTATTCAGCTACCTGTTGGGCTAGGTGGCTTCTGAGGCATAATTATACTACTACTTCTGCTCACTCCACTTTGCATCAGGTCATATGAGTCTTCCTACATTTCTCTGAAACTGTTTTCTTTATTTCTTGCAGCATAATAACATTCCATTACATTCATTTACTATTTTTTGTGCAGCCACTTAAAGGTTGGGCTTTTAGTATTTCATTAATAATCTTTTATACATGCTGACGAAAATGAATTAAAATGTTATATTTACATAATAAACTAAAAATAACTTGTGTAGAGGAAAATGGAGAGGCATGTGAACTGAGCAGGCTTCAACATTATAACCAGTGAGGAATTTTAAAATCAGCAGGGGTAAAAGTTGTCAAGGAACTTTATAATAGGAAGAGAAGTTGTGCAGCGAAGTGGCAGGAATGAAGGATGACCAGGGCACAAACATGGTGTTCCACTGGAGCCTTTGCACGGTCAAGAGAAAGTGAGGAAAGCCTGCAGCATATTGGGTGGAATGCCTGTGGATGAGTTGCAGTTCTATATCATTGCATGGAGGTTTCCTATCAAGATTACAGATGAGATTATTTAGGTAGTAGAACATCATGTAAGGAACTTTAACTGCACTGTGACACAATAAAAGTGAGTTGCCAGTTTTGTACTAAAAATGTTCAGTGTTCAATAATATTGAAATGTAGTAGTCAGTATTTAAATAGTAAGTTAATGGACCCACAGTTAAGAACTTTTTCTTTAAATGGTTCTCTTGAGTTGCTGTGACCAACTTTCTGGCCATGAGCCAGCCTCATTGAACTCGGTAAGAATTTTAAAAGATCTTGACAATCTAGAACATTGTACCAGATCTAATGAGATGAAATTTAATAGGGATGGATTTGAAGTCTTACACTTGGGTTAAGGAAGACCGCTTTTCAGGTATAAGCCAGGGAAATTGTGGCAATACATTAGTTTATCTGAAAAATATTTAGGGATTTCAGTGGACTTGAAGCTCAGCATGAGTCAGCAGTGTGATATGACAGCCAAGAAAGCTATTGTAGCTTTAGGCCATGTTAAGAGAGGCATAGCCTCCAGGAATAAGGAGGTGGTTCTCCAACTGACCTACCCTGGTCAGACCATATCTGGAACCTTGGGTTCAGGTCTGAGAACCACATTTTTAATGAACCAGAGAACATCCAGAAGAATATGACCAAAATGGTGAAGGGTCTTCATTTCATAGGATCCTAGATTAGAGCTGGAGAACCCTGAGGCCTCTCATTTTATACATAAAGAAACTTAGGCCCAGGGAGGTTAAGTGTTCAAGATAGGATTTTTACCCAGTTCTTTTGACCACAGAAGCAATGCTCCTGCTTTTTTCCATGTTTAAGAGGGATTTGAAGACCAGGATAACTGAGAATTTAGCTCCAAGTGCTTCTCAAAGCTCTGATCAATTTGTGTCTCTTGTGAACTTTTCTATTTATCTTTGGATTGTATTGTGTGTATGCATATGTGTCTTATTCCTCCTTAGTTATAACTCTGTGAGGTCAGGGATCAGTTTATTTGTAGGTCACCTCCAGGGCCTAGAATAGTTCCTTATGTACAAATCTCCAGTTGTTTGTTGAATTTTACTTTGAGATTACCATTATATATGGACTCCCTCAGGCAAATTATATGACAAGGCATTTTAAAACATACACATGTATCTGTCAGGCCACTGTTACTTTTATTTATTTACTTATTCATTCATTCATTCATTTATTTATTTATGCGGCAATGGGGTGAAGTGACTTGACAGCTAGTAAGTGCCAAGTGTCTGAGGTCAGATTTGAACTCAGGTCTTCCTGAATCCAGGACCAGTGCTCTATCCACTGTGCCATCTAGCTGCCCCCGTGGTACTAATCTTTAAAGAATTGTAGTCATTGGGAGAGGTGCTAGAAGACCAGAAGTAAGCAAATGTCCTAATTTTCAAAGGGGAAGGAGGCACTTCAGAAATTATTCATTAAACAAATTTAACATGGATCTCATGCAAAATTCTAAAATACATCGTTGAACAGGTGGTTTCTGATCACTTAGAAATTGAAGCGGTGAGCCAGCCTGTATTCATTAAGAATGTGTCATGTCAAAATGGCTTTTTGTAGTAAGATTACTATACTGTTAGGTCAAGGTTAGGCTATTTCTTGTATATTGATTTTAGCAGAGTCCTAATGCTACTCTTTTGGAGAAGATTACAAAGTTCAAGCTAGATGAACTTAGTAGATTCATAGCTGGTTGAACTTAAAGGTGTCCAAAATGTATGAAATAATGTCAAGACAAACTGATATAGGTACACTAGTCTAGTGCATTGTTGGTGGAACTGTGAATTAGTGCAACCATTTTGGAAAGCAGTTTGGAATTATGCAAATAAAGTGACTAAAATGTTGATATTCTATAATATACATTTGTATATTTGACTGTTATAGCCACAGTATCCAAAGCAGCACATTTTGTGGCATCAAAGAACTGGAGACAAAGCCTATGGATTTGGGAATAGCTAGATAGTGTGGCATATGAATGAAGTGGAATATTACTGTGCTGTAAGAAAGGACAACTATGATAAATCTAAAGAAGCAAGGAAAGACATGAACTGTTGGAAATGAAGAACCAAGAAAACAGTATACACGTTGACTACAGCAACATAAATGGAAAGAACATAACCACAAAACAGCCAAAGTTACTGTTTCAAAATGACAAAGAATAAGCATAGCCCCAAAGAAGATGCATGAGAAGAGCCCACCCCCAACTCCTAAGGGTTTTTTTTTAATCTGGCCCTGTAGCATTTAACATTTCTGTCTATTATTCAACAATTAACATTTATTAAGCGCCTAAGGTGCCCCAGGCACTGTGCAAATACTTGGATGATTATTAAGATGGCATACTTATCAGATCTGCAGATGATACAGAACAGGGAGGGATAGGTAATGTGCTAGAGTATAAAAGCAGTATTCAGTTAGACTAGACAGGTTAAAATGATCAGCCAAAGGGTATGGGATATGAGACCAGGAAAAACATAGGCCAGGGAAAGCAACTGTTTCCACTTGTTTGAGGGGCTGTTATTTGGAAACATTGCTTCTTGACCTGATAGAGTAGAACTAAGAGCAGGGAGTGGACGTTAAAAGAGTAAAATTGAGTTTTTCTTTTGTTTAAATAATGAAAAACTTCCTAACAATGAGCTTTTCTTAGAGTGGAAAGGGGCTCTCTAGAAGTAATGGATTTCCTCTAATTAGAGGGCTTTCAAAAAAGACAAAAGGATGGATGACCACTTACTGTGATTTAGAAGGAGTTTTTATTTAAATGAATAGGACTAGATGTCCATAAGGTCCCTTCAGTGAGTCTGTGAGCTTTTCTCTTGGCCCCTGCTTTTTGTAGCCTTTCTGTCTCCTCAGATATCCTCTAGAGCTTGTGCTCCCTTGTACTGGGTGCCCCTTTATTAAAACTGCACTAAGACTTTTGGATGGTCTATGGAGTGTGCCTCCATGACACATTGAGGCATTGGAGTTGTATTTTAGTAGACGATAGATTATATTTGATTGCAGTAGTAAATTAAAATAGAAATGATTTTTCAAGAGACCAAAGTTTCATCTTTAATATGCATCCAAATAGCTTTCCTTATTTAATGTATGTAATTTGAACTTCAGAAAAAAGTACCATGTTTTTACTCAGTTTTTTTCTTCATATCATAGCAAATATGTTTCTTTTTCAGAAAGTCAAGCTTGTCTGCATAATGTAGTTCATGAACGCCTTGGAGAGCTGCTGAGAATTCTTCAGGCCATAATAAACAAACACCAAATCCTCAACTCAGCTGATATTCTTAGTGCTGCAGGAGCAGTTGTTGCAAAAGTGAAAGGTAAGAGACTCATTATTGTCTGGGAAAACTGAAAATATGCACCTTTTTTTTTGCTTCATGATAAAATTAATAATATTCGTCTCAGAAGACTGTATACCTTACAAGAAAACTGCCAGTAATACTGTGTCTAAATAACATAATCCCTAAAGTTCTTAAATACTAAAAGTATCTGCCTGAAATGAAGTAAAATGGAAGACTTTGATCTTATAATTTAAGCTTTTTTGCGTGGAAACAAACAATAAAAATCAACTCACAGATAAATAGAGCATATTTGTTAAGCCCCTACCATCCCATCTTGTAAGCAGCTGATGTTGTAATAGGAGATATATGCCCCAAGAACATTTGCAGCCTAAGTAGAAAATGAATAAATACAAATGTACACCAGGTATTTTGGAAGGAAGGGCACTGGCAGTTGGGTGGAATCAGGAAAGGTTTCCTGCAGAAGATGGGGCTTGAAGAGCCTCTTAAAGAGGCAGAAGTAAGGAAAGCTCATTCCAGCCATGGAGTATGGCCAGGGAGGAGGCACAGAGCCTGCAGGTGGACATCATGTGTGCACCTTAGAGTGAAGGGAGAAGAGTTGATATTTGATTCTAGAGGCAAAAGGAAGTTCCTGGGGGATCTGAACCATTACACTTAAGAAAAATTACTTTGTCAACAGAATTTAGGATGGAGTAGAGTGGTGAAAAACTTGGGGCAGGGATACATTAAGCATTTTTAAATTGTATGTGGGTTTTTTTTTTTTTGGCTAGACAATATTTTTCATTGGAAAAGATATTCTTTTGATGAAAATGCATTAAATGCTTTGGAATTTTTAAACTATATATTATACATCACATTATTAATGAAGCAGGAAGCCGCTGTATATAGTAATATGTGTCAGCTAGGGAATTGACTGTGGGTACTTAAGACAGATAAAATGGGGGGTAGGGGGAGTAGAATCTTAAACACTTGTTTAATGCTCATGCAACGTTCAACATTTATTGAGGTTACCTTATGTGGTTTGAAAGAGCATTATTAGGGCATTGGTAATGTCAGCTTTGAGCTATCCTACTTTGTATTATAGGATTTGCCTATAAATAGAATATATATAATGAGCAGTTTAGCCTTGTTGACTAATATTGTTAGTGACTTCCTGGTTTATCAAAAAAATAGACAGTTATTTTTAGGAGCTCTCATGCACATATGTGAAGCTAATATCTATGGCTAAGAAGAAAAATAAGTACACTTTCACTATTTGGAATTCTGCTTTAGTTCTACGATTTTATAAATGCTTGTTTGATTGCAAAGCATGCATTGACTTGAATGAGACACTATCCCTTGAATTCAGATCTCAATAAATAAAAGTATGAACTGGGTCTAGATGTTTTCCTGGACACTAGGGGTACAAAGATAAAAGTGAAATCAACTCTGCCCTTAAGGAGTTTATTAAGCTCTGAAGGAGAGAATGTGTAGGTGTAGGTAGACATCTGGAAAATCAATACAAGGTAATATTTGGAAGGTAAGTATTGGTCACCATAATAAAAGGCATAAGAATTTTAAGTACTGTCCTTATGAGTAGAAATATAAGAAATTAATGAATTTGCTTTTTTATCTTAAGAACATTAGATATATATTTATATGGTTATCTGATACCTTGATCTGGAACATGGAAAAACCAAAGCTGGTTTACAGTAGACAAAAGTAATAGCTAGTATATCACTGGTGTAAATTTTAAAATTTTTACCTAGTAAACATATTTATTTTCAGTAAGTTGTTTACAAATGCCATTAAACTTCATTTTGATAGGGTTATTTCTGTCTGTAGTTAGCAAAATTTCCTTGCTTAGAAATAGCAACTATGTTTCATTGTTGTTAGTGGCTATTGTATGTTGTCAGGATGTCCTGGGGAAAGAGAGTGCACGTTAAGAGTTGATGCCCACATTCCAGAAGCAGACGTGAAGAAAGCCATTTCTTCCAAGCTGCTTTGTAGATAGATCCTTTGTATCTTTGAGTGTAACAGCCTTTTACATTTATTTCACCCTATAGCTGTCTTCCTTCTTGGTGTCATTGTTATTGTTCTTTTGCCTCACTGGTTGTATCTGAAAGGGAAAGATTTCTCCAGCCTTTTAAAATATTTAGAGGCCTCACACAAAGTAACAGTTATTTTGGAATTAAAAAGCAGTTTTTGAGCAGAACATCTTTGGAGAGAGGCTGTATGTTTGTCATTAGTGCAGGATTTCACATTTTGCTGCATTTCCAAAGATGTTTGGTTAGTGAATATATAGTATGTGTTATGGGAAATTATACTTGAGCAACACATTAGATATTGTTAGATTTTTATTACTTTGTCTCTGATTTAATCCTCTTAATAGCTGGTAAACTAAGAAGGTTAAATAAAGTGCTAGAGAAATGTATTGACAAACTTTGATGTATTTCTGAATTTATGCTTAGGAGTTCATACCTAAATACTTATATATATATATATTAGTAGTAAGTAAATGTGTTGTAAAATAAAAATTGTAGATTTTTATAGCTGATGCTTAATTATGTTTAAAAGTTTATTTGCATAATTTAGTTATATAGGGTAAAACTAAATGGTGAGTTAAAGGGGAAAATACTGTTAAAAATATGGCTACCACTGCTACATTTGCTTATAAGTGATAGTAATGGTAGATTTCACATATATAGGTGTATACACACACACACACACACACACGCAAACACACATATACATACATATATATATGTAATACTAAGTGGACTGTAGTCTCAAATTCAGTTTTAAAATTGTTTGTTTTTGTTCTCCTATCTAAAAAGAAGTATCTGGAGGAAGGTACATGATTAATCAAACTTCATATATTGTGAATGCATATTGCATTGAGATATATTGTTACCAAGTGTAACTATATGCATTGACATGAGCTTAAAGACCCAGGCCTGGAAGAAATCATTTGACTTGAATGACTAAGGATTATAGATAGAAAAAGATATATACGTATATCTATAAGATTTAGCATGCATTATTGAATGTATTGCACATGTGACCTTATGTTACATCATTGTTGTGATGTTGGGATAACAAATTTTTAAAGACTAAACTGCTGTGTATATCCATCTATATGAATATGTATTTAATGTGTGTGCACAGATATGTGCATGTAAATTTCTTTAATAGAGAAGTGATTGAGTTAGTCATTTAAAAAACTGAATGTCTACATGCATATGTGTGCCTAGGTATATACATGCATGCACATGTGTAGGAATTCAGCATGCCTTATATAATGTATATTTTCATTAATAAGAGCCAATACAAAACCCTTTTTCCCATGGCATTTTCACACTCCACATTATAGTCTGGCTGTTGGAAGAACATGTCTTGAAGGAGAGCAGTGAATAAGAAGAAATAGCACAAAGCAGGTCCTGTGTTAGTGGCAGAATTCTAGTGTGACCTCTGCTCTATGTTTCCAGAAGTAGATTGTTCTCACATTGCAGAATTATCCATGGGATCTGTCTGTTGATGGCTTAATATGTCCCACAAATTTACAATGCCTTCCACTTTTGTGTGGCCTGATACTCCTTAGCATAATTATTTCCTTGAAAAAGAAGTGATAGTCATCTTGCATGCCAAGTTCTTCTTATATCTGCATCTCATGACATTTTGTGAAGTCATTTGGTGACAAGTTAAAAAGTAAATAAGCTACTTCTGTACACGAGGCTCATAAGAATTATCCCCTTATTTAATGTATCCTCTGTAGCCGTAGACTTCAACAACATTAATGAAGAAAATAAGAGACATCTCTTCAGTGAAATATTTTCTTCTATTGAAACATTGGCATTCACCTTTGGTAACGTGTAAGTAAAAATTTGTTATTTAAGAGAATTTAGGCCCAACACAGAGTGAGAATATAGTTTGTTTCAGTGCCCAAAACACTGTATGACTAAACTAAGCATTAAATAACATTTCAGATTTTGTACAGCTATATCCTGTACTACTTCATTATCAGGCTCAGAATTGCTAGGAAGGTAGTCGTTCATTAGAGACGAATGCTTTCTCCCAAATTTTGGTATGTATACTCCAAGACTTTATATGGTGTTAGACCATTTAATGGGGTTTGGAACTGGAAGGTGCTTTAGAGGTAATTTAATTAAACCTCCTCTTTTAGAGATGAGGGACATGAGTCTTAAAGAAGTGAAATAACTTAGCCCAAGTCCACAAAGATAGTAAGGAGCAGACCTCAAGTTTGAAGCCAGGCCCTCCGACTCCAGTTTCAGGCTTGTTTCCACCATGTTGTGCTGATTCCCCTCCCTTGGAGGAGATGGGGGTGGGGAATCACTAATAGTATTTTATTAATTTTTTTAAAAAATAAACATTTTTGAGTAATTTGTTACATGAACTAACCTCCGTCATCTTTTGTCTTTTTCTTCCTGTGACAGCGTTTCAGACTTCCTTATGGGAGATGTAGACTGTAGTTCATCATTGGACATTCATGTGTCTCAGAAAAGTCAAGTAAGCTGAATTTAATTGTGGACAGTTTTATGTTTAGCAAGCATTTCAGTATAACAATTTCTTGACCTTTTCATCTGGCCCATCTTAACACAATTCAGTGTTTTTATACTTCTTATTTACTGAAGTCACTACAATGTTATGTCATTTGAAGCAAGTATACATAGGATTAGGTTCAGTGATTACGCTTTATAGTCAGTTTCAGGAACTATAATTTTAATTTGAATGAGGACACATAATGAATACTTTTCATAGGCTCTCATATACATATTATTGTATAATCAGCAGTTTCAAATAGTCTTTTCATACTTTTAGAGTAGTAATTCTCACATGCACTTATACCAAACTCAATCACTCTTCCATCAAAAGTAATTTTTAGCATTACAAAATATCCTAGAGATTTTGAGATTTTAAGATGTAGAATGCAGATTCCTCTTGAATAATTTTCAACTGTGTTTCCTTAGTGTCTGACAACTGCCTTAAATATAGTAGATGTTTGACCTCTTCAGTTTGATTCAGAAGGCATAGCTAAGAATGTCTCAGTTCAAATGCCCTACAGGTTGTCTCACCAAACAGTTCTTAAGTTCTCTTCAGCTCCCATCAATGAGATTCTCCCCTAAAACTCCACTTCAACCATGCTTTGGGATAGGGAGAGGGGGAGTCCTCCCCAATTTGTAAACAATTGCTGTAGATTAATCATTGTCTCCCAATTGAAACTTGTGCAAATAGAGAAATTTGTAAAATATATCCTGTGTAAAATTTTAAAAAGAAACTAATAAGTATATTTTAAAATTAGAAACTTGAGGTGTGAAATAGGTTCTAAAGTGTGATGTGAATTTAATTTAAATGTAACAGTTAAAAGCATTTTTATACTTGCTCCTTTGGTAAATTTTTTTTCACTTCATCACTATGTAACTATATACAAAACTGAAAATAAATTAGTACAGCTTATTTATGATAAGAAGACTACAGAAATCTGCATATTTCAGAGCATATTTGAATATTATTGTTGTTTAGTTGTTTCAGTCATGTCTGATGCTTCATGACCCCAGTTGGGGTTTTCTTGGCAAAGATACTGGAGTGGTTTGCCATTTCGTTCTCCAGCTCATTTGACAGATGAGGAAATTGAGGCAAACAGGGTGGAGTGACTTGTCCAGGGTCATATGCTAGTAAGTGTCTGAAGCTGGTTTTGAACTCAGGTTTTCCTTACTCCAGGCCCAGTGCTCTATCCTATACCACCTAACTGCCCAATGTTTGAATACAGCAATGATCCAGAATGAAATGAGGACTAAATTTACCAATTTGTGACTTGGTCTTAACCAATTCTAAGCCAGAGTTGTTACAAGTTTGTGAGCTATGTCCAAGAGAAGTGTGCATTTATCATAGTTTATGGCCCATGGGACCTTTTATTGTACAGCTGCCAAGATAAGAATGGTCTTTATGTGTTAAAATAATGCTGTATTTGAAGATGTAAAAACCATTCTTAGCTCACAGGCCATACAAAAACAGGTAGGAGGGTTGCTCTTAGGCCTTGCCAATCCCTAATCTCAGCTATTGAATGTGAAAAATTAATTTTCCAGTGATCTTGGATTGCATGATTGAGATCACTGAGTCACAGTGGTGAAAACACAGTTTGAGCAATGATAAAATAATAGGTTGGTGTTCTGACATTCTTTAGCAGTGTACTCATTGTAATAAATCATCTCCACAGGACCTATTGCTTAGAGATGCATTGTTAGTTGGCAGGACTAAATTGATGCTTTATGTAACTTTCCTCTTGTATTTGAAGCATTCTTCTTAGATTTCCACTCAGTTTTTGAGAGAGTGACGAGTTTCTTTTTTCATCATTTTCCTTTTTATATGAAAAACTATGCAGCTTTACCGTTTCTGTTTCTTTTTCTTTGTCTTTTTGCTTTTTTTCCTGAAATTTAATTGAGAGATTATATGCATGAGAGCAGTCTTCACATCTGGTGTCTTAGTTGAGAATAAAATGTAGTCAACTTAAGATTGAAAGAACTCTAAAGCAGAAGTATGGTATGAGTGAGAGAAGAGCAGTAGCGGGACCTCCTATTTTCCTTTGACCTTTTTCTTTTTCGTGTGACCACCTTTTGTTTTCAGAGTTGCTTGTTGTCCATTTTATATTGTTTTCCTGTCATTTGATTAATAGTCAGGGCTACATGCTATCCCCGTCTTTTACTAGGGAAATAATAGCCAGGGAATTTAGACTTACAGGTGACAGAATTAGTGGAAATCAAAGTCTCTTGATTGAGTTAAATTCTCTTCTTATTACATCTCCTTAGCAATATAATAATAATGCAGATAGCACAAGGATAAGATAAATAACAGGAAATATCTAAGCTCTAAAAGATCTTTTAAAAAACTAACTAAAAATATCATCTGGGCCTTAACCTGCTTCAGAATCTCTACATATGTGTTTTGTAAGAGACTGTGTGGTACAGTGGATAGAGAGCTGACTTCAGAGTCTGGAAGGTTTGGGTTCAGGTGCTTCCTCTCATGTAGACTGGTTTTGTGACCCTCAGCAAATCACTGAATCTCTCAGTGCCCTAGCAGACTCACTCTCCTAGTTAGGACTGAGTTGAAGTTCAGAACTGTTGCAAGATCTGCATTGGTAGAGTAGTTTCTTCACTTGGACTTCTTTACATAGATGAAATCACCAGTGCAGACTCCAAAACATTTGTAAATTCTAATATTAGAAAAACTCTGTGGTGCTTAACAGAGCTTCTGTGTCCAAAAATAGAAATTGAGTTTTCAGGTGCTGGTTTTAAATTAAGGATATGCTCATGGGTGCTTTTTCTTTTCTTGTTGTCAAGTCAAGCCGTAGCTTGGGCCTTGTTGAAGCTTAGTTTAGGGGAGATGTTATCTCCTAGTTATGCCTTTCAGCTTTCTGTTTCTGATTTCTGTTTGAGAGATGAAGGAAAATCTATGCTGGCAAGTGTGGAAAATATGCCCTAATTCACTCACATAACTATAAGCAGGAGGAAAGCTAGCTCATTGACCACTTTTATGTAATACTTTAAGGTTTCAGGATCTTAAGTCTCTTCCAACCCTGCAATAATTTTGTGCTTCTGGGAAACATGGAGGGTGTCAGTTCAGCATTTAACTTAGCATTAAATTAATACTGTTTCCACCTTGAATTATGTGTGAGAGTGGCCTGTTGTTTGTTTAGGTTGGGGAGGTCAGAATGTGTTTTAGGCAAGTAGGCCAATTTGAAGTGACACCTTCATTCTCAGTTAACAATAACTATGGCTTATGTTTTATGTAGAAGAATCAGTATAACCAAAACAAGTTAAAATGTCCTTGTAGGAAGACATCATTCATATATGCCAAGTGTATATATGTGTATGTGTGTGTTTATAGATATCTGTGTATATGTATATATATCTGCATTTAATTGTAGCCTTCTTTAAGGCAGGGGGTTTGTGAGGGGAGGGAGGGAGAAAAAAGTTAAAAGTGCACAGCAGAGAACAAAAGAAAACCTAGAAGGAAGCAAAGAAAAGCTGGGTAGCTTTGAAAACAATGTGTAATATTTATTATATAGGTTTTCTTGAAATAGAAATTTATTGTTTTCTATTGAATCCTCTCTTATGATCCGCTGTGTACATAGAAATGTCCTTTTTTTGTCTTTTCTTGTTTTGTCTTTAAGTTTAAAATGAATACAAAATTTCCCCCCAAAATGAGACATAATTCAGTTATCCACAGATCAAGATTTGTGATTTTGACTTTATTTTTTGTTAATGATGAGGATGAGGGGGGCAGCTGGGTGGCACAGTGGATAGTGCTCAAGCCTTGGTGTCAGGAGGACCTGAGTTCAAATTCGGACACTTGACACTTACTAGCTGTATGACCCCGGGCAAGTAACTTAACCCCAACTGCCTCACCAAAAAGCAAAAAACAAAAACAAATAAAGAATGATGGGGATGAGTTAAGACTAAAGAATAAAACTGAGAAAGTTATTGCTTTGGGGTCTATATCATGAAAGATCTCAATGCCTTAGTTGTACAAATGATATTTAGGCTTGAGTGTGGAGAATTATTTTCCTGTGTTTTGAAAAAATTTTAAGAAAGTGTTGCCATGTAATAATTGGTGTTCTTCAGCTAGATTAAGGAATATGATTAATTGAGTGAGAATCAGTGTGAAATTAAATGAACCCGTGGGTTTCGCTCATCTTCAGTGGTTCCCATAAAAAAAGTTGTATCCTTTAAGTTGGAAACATTCACTGCTTCCCTTCCTCTCTTGGGACTGACTCCTCTGCCTTTTGGAATCTGGCCTCTGACCTCATCCCTCAACTGAAACTGTTCTCCCCAGATTTACCGTTTGTCAAATCAAAAGATCTTTTTTTTTTCCCCTCAGTCCTCATCCTTCTTTACCTGTCTGCTTCACGTGGCACTGCTGACTACTCTCTCTCTCTTTTCTGGGTTTTTGTTAACCTGTTCTCTTGGGGTTTTCTCCTCTCTGTCTGGTGGCTCCTGCTGTCTCCTTTAATCACCGGTATCACACAGTGTCACTGTGAGTGTTCCCAAAGGTTCTGCCCAAAGTCCTCTTCTCTCTCCTTTCTCCTCCCTCTCCTCCTCACCCTCTCAGTTGTTCTCATGCCCTTTCCCTCTCAACCTCTCTTCCCCCCTCAATAGCTTTATCAGCTCCCTTGTGTCTGTGAGATGATTCCCACGTGTATACACCCAGTGCCTGGCTTTCCCCTGAGCTGCAGTCTCACATCACCGGCCGCCAATTGAGTATTTCAAATTGGATGTCCCCAGGACGTCTCACACTTAATGTTACCAGAATGGGATTAGTCATCTCTCACCAGCCCTTTCTTCTTCCAAACTTTATTATTTCTCTTAAAGGCACTGGCATTCTTCCAGAGTCCTAGTTTCTCATAACGTTGGCATTCTCTGCAACTCCTCACTACCACCCTTACCCTCCCCATTCAGTCCATTACCTGATCTTTTAAATCTGCCTTCACAACATTTCTCCCATCCCTGAGTGCCTTCTTTTTACTCACAGTGGGCACCTTAGTTCAGGCCCTTAGCACCTCTTGCCTAGCTTACTGAAAACACCTCCTGATTGGTCTTTTAGCCTCAAGTATCGTCCCACTAAAGTCCATCCCACACATTATTACCCAAGTAATTTTCCTTAAGTGTAAATCTGACCATGTGACACCCTTGCTCCACCAACTCTAGTAGCTTCCTGTTGCCTCTGGGATCAAAAATTTGTTCCTTTGTTTAGTATTTAAAGCCCTTTCATCTCTGTTCAGTCTCAATGGATATTATGTATCCTCCTGAGCTCTGTGACCCAGCCAAACTGCTTTCTCTCTGTTTTTTTTTCCATACCTGTGTGCACGCATGCACACACAGACACACACAGACACACACATACACACACACACACCTTTCCATTATTGTGTGAATCAGAGAATCCTGTGTTCCTCTAAGGTTCACATTAGTACTCCCTTCTGCCTGAAGCTTTCCTGATCGTCTAAACAGCTACTTTCCTCTTTCCTAGACTACCTTTAGTTTAACTACTTTGTATTTGTTTTCTTTATATTCTGTGTATACTTATATGTGTTCTTGTTGAAATTCCCCTTCCCACCATCTGAATGGAAGTTCCTTGTGAGTAGGAGTTACTTTTACTTTTTGTATCCCCAATGCCTAACACAGTGTCTGGCAACATATTAGGTACTTAATATTTGTTGATTGTTTGGTTATTCCTTGGCCAGTATCCAGGTTTTAATTACTAGTGTTATGTTCTTATTCAGTTGCATTATTTGGTGGGGAGAAAGAACTCAATATCTTTTTTTCTTCTGTCATTATTTATTCTGCCTACAATATGAATAGATCTATTAAATAATTTTTAAAAAAGTAAATTACTAATGAATTTCTTAAATTTTTCTTGAAATTGTACAAAAGGTGAATGAAACTTTGGTTCATTTGTTATGCAACACAATTGTCATACATGACTATGTAACCATTTCCGAAAAGATTGATTGGTAGTAGAAGCAGAAAGGTAATTAGTCTTAAGATTTTCAAGTAATTTGCAGTTTATTAATCCCACAATATTTTCGCTTAGAATTGTTGCTGTTAACTCTAGAAAATGAGAAATTAAATCATTTTTTTCTTCTCAGGAGTATCCAAAGCTCACAGAGCTTTAGAAAATAAAAACAAAATAGTCTTAGATTTGGGCAGAGTAAATTTTTTGAACACCCTTTCCCCAAAACTGCCCCAGCCCTTCTGCCAACATTTATCTATAGTTTTTCAGTTAGTGGTTATTTTTCCAAAAAAATATTTTCCCTTTTTACAGTTCAGTTTTCCTTTTGAAATGTGTTGTTTTTCAGTTTATACTGACAGAATTTGTGTCAGGAAGGCCATTAGATGGTTAGGAGAGATTAAGGGAAAATCCCAAACTGTTAATCTATGTGCTAATTAATCAAGTAAGTTTCAGTTCATGGAAAAGTACAAAAATGAGATGCTGTTACATATTCTTGGCTGAAGTTATTTTTAAGATTTTAGGGAAATGCTCCATATATGCTTATAAAGACAAAAATAAAAGATGGCGGGGAGAGATTACTGTTTCTCAATATCTATACATTGTTTCCTGTTTCCTAACTTACTAGTTTTAGGGTTTGTATGAAGAGCTTGGGAAAGGTAGATGTTACAGTGGGTAGTGTACTTGACCTGATGTCAGGAAGACTTCTCTTTCTGAAAACAAATCTGGCCTCAGAAACTTAGCAGCAGTGTGAACCTGGGCAAGTCACCTAACCGTGTTTGCCTCGATTTCTTCATCTGTAATGAAGAAAGAAATGCCAAGAGAACCCCAAACGTGGTCATGAAGAGTTGGACATGACTGACACTCCTAAATAACCGCAACCACGAAGAGCTTAAATTTAATTAGTAATTATGTTTTTATTATTCACATAGAAGCCCTTTAAGGACAGGAATTGTGTTTTTTTCTCTTTTGTATCTCCGTCATTTAGCCCAATCTTGCATATGTCAGTGGTTTAACAAACTTCTGTTGACTCTAATTTAACGTTTTAGAATTGATAAATGTGAAACCATTATTAAACAACAAAATTGTTTATTTTTAGCTCCAGAAGATTGCCATTGTAAATATTGTAGAATCACCTAAAGAGATCCTATTATTTAAACATTCTTTTCAGAATTGTTAGTTTTAAATCCTTGGACTCCTTAGGTAGAATTAGGTTTTTAATGAAATATGTCAGAAGGGCAAATGAGGCAGAAAAAAATCTTTTAAATGAGTGGACTAAATTCTTGTGTGTAGCTTTTATTTTCCTCTAATCTGTAGGTTTTGTGTTTTGTTGTTGTTGTTGTTTTTTTGTTTATATTCCAGTCCTCAGAAAACATTTCTCTGGAATCAGTGGGATTGCTGCATGAAAAAGATAATCTTCAAGGTACTTAAGAGTATTTGTTATGTTATACTTTTGGCATTTATCCTTTTCAGTTCGTGTCCTTGCTAAAATTTATGTCTACTTGCTACCATTGAAGTGTGTCTCTAACTGTAGAGCTTCCATATTACTCACATTCGGAAGTGGAAAAGCCAAAGCTGAATTTGGTCTAGACTGATGTAGCTTTTGTGACTTGAAGGCTATTTTTTAGAGGGAATAAAAAAACAAATATAGAAAGACAGAAATAGAATTCAAACCCAAACTGTGGCATTTAAGTTGTCCTAAAAGCCTGTCAGCTGTATTAGCATCAGCTTTTATTAGCGATCATCTGAGCTGCTCTTCTTGCTCAGAGAGCTGATACCAGCTTTCCTAGTAGTACTTAAATATGTTCTACATTTAATATTTTCATTTTTAGTACATCTGTGGCCCAAAGAACTGGATAGCATGCTTCTGCGAAATGATAATGGAGTTGAATTGGCTTTGTCATATGCCAAAATGTGGTCAAAATATGCCAAAGATATAGTTACATGGATTGAAAAAAAAATTAGCCTGGGTAAGTGACCCTTTGGGGCATTTAATCAGCTTTGTTGTTGTAGAATTAAACTATGAGTTGTCTGACGGAATGATCACTAATGTCATTTTCTATATTAATAGTAGTTTCATTGAAGTGAGTAAAAATAATTGTATTTTCTATTGTTGAAATAAATAAATGGTCTTAGTATATACTTTATTTATTCATTTGCTTTGGTAGCCTGATTGCAACTCCTGCTTTTTTTGGATTCACCTAATCCCACAGTAAAATTTTTTCTAGCGTTCATTTTTATTCTATGTGTGTCTTTGTTTTTTAAGCAGTGGATTATAATGTTTTGTTTTTTTATCCATTTGTCATTCTTTTTCATTTTATTATGTTGCTTAATCTATTCACATTTAAAGTTATGAGAATTTTATAAAACTATATTTTACTCCATTTGTTTCAAATACTGCATTCCCCCCCCAAATTTGGATTTTTCCCCTCTGTAAACATAGTACTATATCTCTTATTTATTTTAGCTTTAATGAATTGTAAGGCAACCCTGTTCCTACTGACTTTCTTCCCATTACTCTTAAGTCTTTTTCCCATTCTATATCATTTATTACCCTTTTTCATGGTGTTGGAGTTTTGCATATTATTTCCATTTTCTTTTATTTAGTTATTCATCTATTTTTTTCCCTCTCAGTTAAGTATACAAGTAATATCCCTTCTTCTCTTACCCTTCAATTTGTTTTGTTCATTTTACAAATTTCACTTTTTGTACTTTTTTCTAAAGAAGGATTTTTAAAAAACAATTTATTTTTTGTTTTTAATATTCACTTTCATAAGATTTTGAATTTTAAATTTTCTTCACCTCCCTCTCCTTCCCACTCCCCAAGATGGCATGTAATCTGATATAGGCTCTACTTATACATTAATATTTAGCATATTTTCACTTTAGTCATGATGTAAAGAAGAATTAGAACTAATGGGAGGAACCATGAGAAAGAAGAAACAAAACAAAACAACAAAAGAAAAGAAGAGGAAATAGTATGCTTCCATCTGTATTCAGACTCCATGGTTCTTTTTCTGGATGTAGGTAGCATTTTCTATTGTGAGTCTTTTGGAGTTGTCTTAGATTCTTGCACTGCTGAGAAAAGCTAAGTCTTATCAAAGTCAGTCATCACACAGTGTGGACTGTGTACAATGTTCTCTTGGTTCTGCTCATTTCACTCAACATCAGTTCATATAAGTCTTTCCAGGTTTAAAAAAGGATTTCTTTCCCTTGTTCTCTTCATTATTTATCTTCCCTTTCTGTCTGTTTTAGACTTTTATTCTTTCATTCATGAACCTTATATTTATTCCTTTCTTAGTCTCTGTCTTCTTCATGGAATTAAAGATTTTAAGATCCCTGTTTTAGGTTCCTTATTCTGAACAGTTTCTATATTATCGTCTTGTAGACCTGGCCCTCTTTTATTGTTGTGCCTCGTTTTCTAGAAATAGCAATTTCAGTGGATGATAAGAATATTGTCCTAGCTAGGAATTTTCTTATGTCACTGATTTAGTAGTTCATCATTAACCTTTGCCCCACCCCCCTTTCCATAGTCATTTCCCCCCCATTTGCCTTGAACTCTATTCTCTGAGTCCGTGCCTTCCCACTCTTCTGGATGTCATTTGCTTCCAGGAGCTCTGATTCCCCTTCTCCTGAGGCAGAATGATTGATCTCTTCAAGTGCTAAATCTCTACGGTTATACCTGTGTACCTTATTCTCCTTTATAGAATCTATGTTCTTCCATGGAGCATGCATTAGTTGTAAACTCCCCCACTACTGAAATAAGACTTTCCCCCCTTTCCCCTTTTTTACTCCTTTACTTTGTTTACTCATCCATTCTCCTACAGGCTCTCATTTTCCTGAGAAGACTACAAGAGTTATTTTTCCTGTCATTATTGAATCATTGACTTGATTAGGGTACATCACTCATTCCCCTGTTTCTTCTTCCGTTCCTCCCCCCTTTTGTGTACCCTCCCATACTTTAATTTAGTTACCCACCCCACCCCACTCCCAAAAAAAACAACCATTGGTTTACCTGTAGGGTGCTATGAGTTTTATCATAATGTCTATGAAGTTTCAGGCTGTTTCTCAGCCGTCACTTCTGTTTGACCTGTGCTTTCACCTTTGTGTCCTGTGTGCATTTAGAAATAAATTTCTTAATTATCTCTTTGTTGTTGTCTTATTTTTGTTGTTGTCTTTGATTGCTTTATTTGTTTACTTTTTTGTATATCTGTTTGAAGTGTTTGAAAAGCAAATTATTTCCTCAGATCTATTTCTTTCTAGGAATGTTTTAAATCTATTTCAATGAGCATGCATTTTTTTTGATTAATGTCAGGCTCAGGTTTGCAGGGTAGGTCACTTTTTGTTGCATCTTGAGCTCCTTTGTTCTTCAGAACACTATTCCATTCACTCCTGTGGTTTCTGGTAAATGCATAATAGTCTTGTGTTTTTCAGATTTCCTTTTTTTTATTTTTGAAGGTCTTTCTCCTGGTCATTTGCAAGATTTCTTTTTCATCAGTGGAGTTAAATTTATTTACTTTTTTTTTTTTTTGGAGTTTATAGCACAATGATTTTTTTTTCCTAGGGCAATCTGCAGATTATTTCAATTAGTACTTTGTTTTCTGTGTTCAGAATTTCTGGGCACTTTTCTTATGTTATTTCTTGCATTATAGTGCCTGGTTTTTTGGCTTTTTGTGTTCTTCTGGGAGATCTAGAATCCTTAAATTCTCTGTATGCATCCTATCTTTGAGAACAATATTTTCTCTTCTTTTGATACTGTGTTTTCTTTTAATATTATTTCTTTTTGCTTCTCTTCTTCCCAGTTGTTCTTCACTCCTCTGTATTTGCATTTACACTTGGTTATTGTTGCTTTTCTTTCTTTGGTAATATTTGCCACTGTATATTTAAGTATTTCTAGCCTGCCAATTATTTCTGTAGTGTAGGCTATACATTCTGCTTTTTTAAAGCAGATTTCTTCTTTTAAAATATCTAGTAACATTCTTCTATGGTTTTATGTTGTCTTGAGAATCCATAGGTTCTCTGCCTCATCAAGGGTTGATTCTTTACCTTTATTTTACAATATTTATTCATAGATGCCCATACTGTTTTAGGCGATTGGAGTTCATATTCCCTTTTATTATTAATATCTTGTTATGCTCAAGATCATAAATTGAGTTCACCTTCTAACTCTCTCCTCCTTTGAGTATGGTTTACTAGGAGCTGGATCTCAGAGCAGTCTCATTCTCTCACTCTGCTAGACAATTCATGATTTATTGGCTTCAGTCTCTGCCTCAGGTAACTTCAGGAGGAACAGAGCTGGTCCCAGCTGTATGCTAGGCTTTTTACTCAGGCTTAGTACAGTGCCTCACAGCTACATACCTGTATCCCACCCCAGTTCTTCAATTCTCTGATTGTAGTCTGTCACTATGCAACTGCTTTCCTGCCTGAGTAATCTTTTCATTTTTGGTTTTCTGTGGCATAGGTGGGAATGTGAGTGTAGTTGAGTTCTGTTGCTAGCCCATGGATTGGATTCTGTGGCCCTACTTTCAGAGCTGGGTGGATAGTGTGGGAAAGGAGTGCTGAGTGAGCATATTGAGAGCTAGAGATTAGCCTTCTTTGCTGTTCATTGAATTGTTACTTGTTTGGATCGTTGGTGTCTTAGACTGCGGAAATGGCTGAGGTAGCTTTATCTCTTGTTCATAAGTTCTATTTTGGAAAACTTTGAGAGGCCATGAAGATCAATTTTTCATTTTGTTGGTCATGTGACCTATATAAATTTTTTTTGAGAAATAGCAATATCTGTGGTTTTTGTTTTAAAGATGACAATTACTTAGAACTTTTTCCCTTCCAGAATTGGAATGTGCTAGAAATATTGCAAAGATGGCAGAGACAACTAAAAGCATTATCGGGCTCCAGGTAAATACATTTTGAGCTTCTGAGGTTTGAGAACAAGTTGGTAGCGTAAGAGTTTTGTTAAGTATCTATCCATAATTGAATGAAATATTTGATTGTGAAGCATAATATCTCATTAGGGGCCAACTTTATTTGGTCAAAGACAGTAGTGTTTTGGTATACATTTGTTTTAAAATGGGATACTCATTTCTGTGCCAAAACAAATTTTGATCCTTAGTTTTACAATTAATTTTTCTTAAGGATCATTGCCATAATCATTATTAACCCTGATTTCAGTCATCAGAAAGTATACTCTGAATGAAGCTTAGATAAGTTGTCTTTACAACATGGAATTCCATTTGTTGCTGGCTAGAGGTATAGACCCAATGGTTCTCATGGCACTTCTTCAGCTCACAGAGCACCTTCTTCATGATCACCTGGGTGGAGGCAGGGACTAGACACATTTCTACTTTGGAACTGACTTTCTTATTTTAAATCTTAGGAATTTATGCCATTCCAGGCTTTATTCTTAAATGCTTTTGCTAATGACATTGAGAACAGTCAACTTTCACAACAAACGGCAGCAGCTCTTCAGACCAACAAATTTGTTCAGGTGAAAACTTAAATGCATTTATAATTTCTACTGCTTTTAAATTCAGAAATTACTTGGACATGTTAACTTGTGAAAAAAAAAAAACAAAACAAAACCTAGCAATTTTTTTTTGATAGCCTCTCCTTGGGAGAAAAAATGAATTGGACAAACAGCGGAAAGAAATTAAAGAGCTTTGGCAACGAGAACAGAAGAAAATGGTTTGTATCACAATGGAATACGACAGTAATCTCTTTCTTACCACTTTTCCTGCCTTGCCTCACATCTTTGTACACCTGCCAAGTATTTAAGCATCTCTCCATATGTGATAATTTTCATTGCTTTCGCATGGCCAAGTTACTTAATATGCAGAAAGAATGTATAATGTAGGGTTTCAGTGTCTTTTTTTCCCACGTAGCAAGAGACAGAGGCATCTCTCAAAAAGGCAAGACTCTTCTGTATACAACAGCAGACTGAATATGAAAAAGCCAAGTCTTCCACAGAGCGTGCTAAAGAGGAGTATTTGAGCTCAAGTGGAGGTGTTGGGAGAGAGACCAGCAGGCAGTTAGAGAAAAAGCGGAGGCTGGAAGAAGAGGCTTTGCAAAAGGTGAGTTTTCCCAAAACACTTTTGAGAATGGACAGAGTCGAAGGAGAGAGAGAGAGAATAGGATAAACAGTGGGAAAATAGGATGGAGCGAAATATAGTAAGCATAACTGTGAAAAAAGTTTTACACAAGTTTTTCTGATAAAGACCTCATTTCTCAAATATATATATAGAACTGAATCAAATTTATAGAATAAGAGCCATTTCTCATTTGATAAATGGTCAAAAGATATGAAAAGGCAGTCTTCAGACTAAGTAATCAAAACTATCTATGGGCTATTAAAATGCTCTAAATTACTATTGATTAAAAAATATAAATTAAAATAATTCTGAGCCACACCTATCAGAATAGCTAATATGACAGAAAAGGAAAATGGCAAATGTTGAAAGGGATGTGGGGAAGTTGAGGCACTAATACACTGTTGGTGAAGTTCTATAGTGATTCAACCATTCTGTAGAGCAATTTGGAACTATGCTCAGAGGGCCATAAAATCTTGCATATCCTTACACCAAACAATATCACTATTAGGTCTGTATCGCAAAGACATGAAAAACAAAAAAGAAAATGTTCTATATGTACAAAAATATTTATAGCCACTCTTTTAGTGGTGGCACAGAATTGGAAATTGAGGAGATGTCCATCAATTGGGGAATGGCTGAATAAGTTGTTGTATATGATTTTGATGGAATGTTATTGCGCTGTAACAAATGACAAGCAAGATGCTCTCAGAAAAACCTGGAAAGACTTACCTGAACTGATGCAAAGTGAAATGAGCAGAACCAGGAGAACATTGTGTACAGTCATAGAAATATTCTATGCTGATCAACTATGAGTGACTTATCTGTTCTCAGCAATACAATGATCCATGAAAATTCTGAGGAAAAAAAAAGTGAGGCTTCCTTGTGGTCGTTGGAAGTTGGACCAGCAGCAGCAATATAGCAAAAACTTATACATTCTTCTTTGTTTCATTTCATTTTATTTTGCCAGAGGCAGAATAGCCTTAGGGGTGGAGTGTATATGTGAGACAAAAAATGGCCAGTTCACGAAATTTCCCTGTTCAGGAGTTTATATATGATGCTGTTCAACTCTTAAGATGGTAACAGTTGAGATCAAGAATGGCCACTGCATTTTTTTTAAATGAACATTCCATAGTTAGAACTATTGAGGCCCTATTAAAGCATTTTGAATGCTATTGTTCATTAGTAACTTTGATATTCTTTAATGTTCTGATTCCCTGCAGATTGAAGAAGCAAATGAACACTACAGAATTGTTATGATAGATATGGAAGAAAGACGAAATGATTTAGACCATACTAAAAATGAAATTTTAATACAACTTCATAATCTTGTTTTGCAGTGTGATCTAACTCTTAAAGCTGTAAGTAATTTAAGGGAACAAAAGACTTGAATGTTACCTCTGTTTTGGAACCTGTGTGGAGGGGGTGGGAGGGGAAACTGTCAGATTTTTGTATAACTAAAGGAATTTTATGAAGACTAACAGGAAAATTTGATTTATGGTACTCGTTATGATTAGTTTTTGAATCTACAGATTATCTGTAGATTTGTAAAGTATACTTGCCATCTTTATATAGTTAGTGATGAATATTGAGTTTCCTCTTCCTTTTATAAAATATAAAATGCACTATGCAAATGTAAGTTATTGTCATTTAAGTTTCAACTATATTGTGAAATTTTTCCATTGAAGGTTATTATTTCTCTGATTTGGGTAGAAATACTAGTTTGCTTGTGTTTCTTAGAAATCGGTCTATCTTACATTGGGATGTATAATTAATATGGCTACTTAACCAGCCCTTTATCAACACTATAATATTAGTTACTGTTCTTGAATACTTGTTAAACCTTTTTTTTAATTAATAAATTTATTTATTTTTAGTTTTCAACATTTACTTCCACAAGATTTTGAGTTCCAAATTTTCACCCCATCTCTCCCCTCCCCCCACCCCAAGATGGCAAGCATTCTGAATACCTCTTCCCCTAGACTGCCTTCCCTTCTATTTCTTCCCTACTTCTCTTATCCCCTTCCCCTTCTCTTTTCCTGTAGGGCAGGATAGATTTCTGTAACCCATTTCCTGTATTTCTTATTTCCCAGTTGCATGTGAAAACACATTTTTTTTAAAACATGTGTTTTTCAAATTTTGGGTTCCAAATTTTTTCCCTTCCTCCCTCCCCACCCATCCTCATTGAAAAGGCAAACAACTCAGTATAGGCTATACGTGTGCAGTTATGCAAAACACTTCCATAGTAGACATGCTGTGAAAAACTAACTCTATTTCCTTTAATTCTATCCCGCCCCCCATTTATTCTATTCTTTCTTTTGACCCTGTCCCTCCTCAGAAGTATTTGCTTCTGATTACCCCCTTTCCCAATCTGCAATCCTCTCTATCATCCCCCTACTCTCTTGTCCCCTTCCCCTCCTATTTTCCTGTAGGGTAAGACGGATTTCCATACCTAATTGAGTGTGGATGTTATTCCCTCCTTAAGTCAAATCCTATGAGAATAAGATTCACTCATTCCCTCTCACCTTCCCCTGTTTCCCCTCCACTGTAAGAGCCTTTTCTGGTTTTTTTTGTGAGATAATTTACCCTGTTCTACCTCTCCCTTCTTCCTTCTCCTAATATAATTCTTTCTCACTCCTTAATCTTATTCTCCAGACATGACCCTTCCATCTTCAACTCACCCTGTGCCCTCTATCTATCTATCTATCTATCTATCTATCTATTTATCTATCTATCTATCTATCTATCTATCTATCTATCTATATATGTATATACATACATATAATTTTTTCCCTTCAGCTACCCTAATACTGACAAAGGTCTCATGAGTTACAAATATCATCTTTCCATGCAGGAATGTAAACAGTTCAACCTTAATAAGTCTCTTATGATTTCTCTTTCTTTAAACTTTCTTTTTACAAAATGGAGCACAAGATAATTTGGGAACAGAGGGTAATGATCTTCATTGTTTTCATTTTTCTCCGTTGTTTCAGGCCAACCATTCCACATTTAATTTTATTTATTTTCCTCAGATTGAAAATTATATTTTAGGGGAATCAATTAGAGTCTAGTAGTGTTATGAGTTCTTTTTTTATCTGATTTTTGAAATTTACTTCTTTTATTTGGTTGCCTTGAAATAGTTTGACATGTAAAAAAATAGACATAAGCTTTAGAAAAGTATAGGGCTACATCTTTGTCTTCAAGAAGCTTAAAATCTATTTAGTAATCCAGGAGCAACAAATATGAAATAATTAGCAAGTAATAAACCACAGCATGAAATAAAATACCCAGTGGTATGGTACAGAATATTGACGTAGAAGGCTAGAGATGAGAAAGATTGCTTGTGACCAAGGGAAGATAATTTTGGAGGGTGAATATAGAGTTGGTGGTACTCTGCCCTGGACCTTAGAGGATGAGTAGGATTTGGACAAAAGAAGAGAAAAGCATTTTGGGAAAGTTAGTATGACAAGAGTATACAGAATGGACATCAGTGGTAGGAACAGTCTCTGTTTTATCTTGAATATGTTGGTTTCCTTTGAAGGGAGTTGAGAAGGCCATTCTTGGCATTACCATTGATTGGCTTCTCTGCCATTTGAGGCATAAAAGGCCCAGTCTGGGCAGAGTTGGTGTCTAAGGTTTTAGTGGAATTCCCACTGCTGCCTGCTCATTGACCGCCTTTCTAACCTACTGTGGCCAAATATGCTGAATGCTGAAGAGGAATAGAGTAGTGTTTATCTGAGTAGGTAACTTTCTTAACTTTAAGAATTGTAGGTTTTTTTTAAAAAAAAAATTCTAATTCAAGTTGTTTTCATTGCATTCTTACTACTGTCCTGAATCATTGGACTGATCATGCCCCCCCCCCCGTACCCTGTAAACTCCAGTGGGGTCCATATTACCTCCAGGAATAAATACAGATCATCTTGTTGCGTGTTAAAAAGGGTTTTGAATATCTCCTTGCCCTGTCCTTCTCCCCATCTCCCCTCTCATTCAACACACACACACACACACACACACACACACACACACACACACACACTCTCACTCCAGTCACCTTACATCTCTCTCTCTCTCTCTCTCCCCCCTCCCCCTCTCCCCCCCCTCCCCTTATCTCTCTTTCCCTCCCTCTCTCTCTCCCTCCTGTTATTATTTGATCTAATGACATTGGCCTCCTAGCTGTTCCACAAACAAGACACGGCATCTCTTAGCTCCAAGCATTTTTTCTATTGTCTCCCATGCCTGGAACACCCTCCTTTCCCATCTCTGAGTCCTGGCTTCCCTCAAGTCCTAACAAAAATCCCACCTTCTCTAGGAAGCCTTTCTCATTCCTTCTTAATTCTAGCACCTTTTCTATTTTAATTATTTCCCATGTATCTTATATATCATTTGTTTGTACACATTTATTTGCTTGCCTCTACCTTCAGATTGTGAACTCCTTGAAGGAAGAGACTGTTTTTTGTCCTTCTTTTTATCCCTAGAGCTTAGCACAGTGCCTTGCACATAGGAGGCTGCTTAATAAATGTTTATTGACTGGCTAAACTGGAGTTAGACCTGGTCCGGAACAGGCAGCTTTGGGTAAAAGGAAGTTAAGGAAAGGGCAATCATCATGCTAAATTCTTGACTTAGAAGGAAATTAGTTTTAATCATTGCTGAATCATGAAGGGACAGTATACATATGGGAAATTGTTTTAAGCATTATTGTGGGGAAATTTTCACTTACCTACATGCCATTGTAGATGAAGGCTCCTAAAAACCTATGAGTCAGCAGTTATCTGGGTGGGTGATTAGTCACAATACATGTCTGTGAAGGATTTCCAGAGCTCCGGTGACAAGTCACAACGTTTTTAAGGTGATTCTCTTTCCCTATCATCGTTCTGTCTACAGTTTTGATCTTCACTTTATTACAGTAAGCCCCTGGAGAGTAGGAATAATGTTGCTATTGTTTTTGTGTTCCCGTAGTCAGCCCTTGATGAGCCTTGTGGATAAGTAAACTGAGGCTGATTGTAGCAGGGTTACATTTTCTATAGCTACTTTTCCATCTTATGATAAATGTTAGATTTACAATGCCTCCCTTTTCCTTGTCACGAAAACAGTCTAGAAAACATTGTTGCCTCTATTTTCCAGGCTCTTGGCATACTCTCCAACATAGAGCATCAGGACTCTAGTTCACAATATACTCACTTTCTAGCCTTTTGGGTAGGGAGGCAGAGAAGGCTGAATGATTTATGATCAGGTTTTCTTCATGTTAAGGGGGATGTGATATTACAATTCCCTGCTGATATCTACCAATAATGAAGATTAGCAGAGTGTGCCAGTATCTTGCCTTGGATTCCTAATCTAGACTTTTTTCTTTTTTAATAGTTACACTGTGTTATTATGTCATATTATTAAAACATGCAGTCCCCCTCTGGAACAAGTATGAATACAAGCAAAATCTATAATTTTCCAAGTAATAAAAATTATTTTAATATGTTACACCTCTAGAAGTGGCCCCATAGATGAAATTTGTTGATCACAGATACAGATGTGCATCAGCCAAGTCATGAACTTTAATCATAACGTTGTAGTTTTAATTTCCATTGTTTCTTGGACACATACATACACATGCACATGTGCTCACAGCACACTGTATATTACACATACAATATACATGTACATGTATATTATATACATAATATACATGTATGTGTATTATGTATATAATATGCATAGATGCGTATTATATATCTTACCTATGCCAGTGCGGAGATTTTTCAAGTGGTGTTCTTGCTTTTTAAGATAGTACTTTTTTCATCTAGCTAATGAGGAAAAGTGGTGAGAAGAAATGTCAAAAAGATAGGGTATAGAAGAGAGAGTGTGTATTGTGATTTTATTGATATAGGGAACTTCCAGTGTGAAACTCCCACTACCAAAACAGGTCAGGCCCTTTTCTACAAGGTCAAAGTTCTAGAGAGTGGCCTACAACACTGAAGGATTTAGTGACTTGCCCCCAGGGTCAAATAGCCAGTCTGTGTCAGAGGTAGGAATTGAATCCATATCTTCCTGGCTGTGAGGTCTGACTTCTTTCCACTATAATGTTCTGCCTTAAGATTTCATAAAAATAAAAGGTATTTCTGCTTTTTTCTATTCACTCATTCATTCATTTGGTCTGGACTTCTGATTTCTGGGTTTGGAAAACTGGTATGGAAACCCCCTACACTAATGTAGAAACTTTGTATTTATTTAATTTGTGCATTGAAGCACTGTGGTGGTAAAGTGGAGGATACATTACCAATTTTTTTTAATTCTGAATTTAACAAACACCAAAAACATTTCCATATACGAAATAGAACAGAAAAAGAGAATTTATGTGAAAACAGGAATTTTTCAGTCTCTCCACATACCCCCATGCAACTCATCACCGTCCTTTGTATGAGATTAATTTTTAATTCTTCAGAGACTGCTGGAGTCCGCATCTCACTGCCTTCTGGCAACTATGACAGAATGCTGGTCTTAAAAAATGGGCTTTTGCTTTCATTATAGTTGGGGTAATTAAAAGAGCTTTATAATTTCTCAAAGACAGTCCAATAAATGAATGTACAAATGAATGAAACAGTGAATGAAAGACCTTCTAGATTGGCTATATGGTATTACAAATATATGTTCATTTTCTAAACACTTGAGTTATTTTCAGAATGTATTTGTATAATGAGTGAAATCAGTCTTTTAAAAAATATAATGGTACAGATGAGTAGAAATTTTAGCTGTGAATTTTCCTTTGTTGGGCAAATCTACACAGTAAGAGCATGTACTGTACTTTCTCTTTGCTAAAAATTCTTCCCCTGCTATTTCCATCTTTTAAAATCTGAAATGCAAATCAGAAAGGACAGCAATAGTTGTTAGCTTTTGAAATACAAACAAGCATAACCTAAGTGGAGAAAATGCATGCTGTGCTGACCTGTCCTGCTAGGAGTAGTACGTGAAATTTCCAACCTTCTAAAATTGTTGAAGCAGGGAATTTATGTTATTAACCCAAAGTTAAGACTTTAGGCAGGAGGGTGTGTAACTGGACAAGTAGAGTTCTGGGGGACACCCCTCCGTGTTAAGTTGACACAATTGGAGAGAATTAGGATTTCTTCTGAGAGGTTACTTTTAAAGTAGGAAAAAACCTCTCCTCTTTCCCTCCTCCCCGCCCCTTTTAAAGTAAATTTTGCGGAAAATCATCAAGTCTGTATATCAGAGATGTCTAGATGAATAAATCCTAACATGCTTTAATGAGTCCTCAGAGGTGACAGTTTAGATGTTGTAAATAATATTGTGCGATGTTACTTTTAGCTAAGTACATTTGAAGATCTTTTTGTTAAAGGTTTCTGATTGTCCTTATGCTTTATCTTTATTTGACAAATAGGTCATAATGAACCTCTTCCAGATGCAACATGAGCAGCTTCTGTCTCTTCCAGTTAATTACCAGTCTCTCTGTGAGAATGCCAACTCATATAACCCCGGGAGAAACTTTGTGGACTTTGTAAAGGCAAAAACTTCACCTAAGGAGGATGTTTACCGTAAAGCTATTTCTTTTGACAGTTTAAAAATTGATGGGTAAGAATTAATGTGTTATTGAAATTTGGTAAAGGGGGCTCATTTACTGCCAGATACACATCCAGTTTGAATCGATTTATTCCCTTTGACACGAGCTTCAAAATAGGATCTTTTTTGTCTCTCCTTTTTGGAAATAATGCGTGTGTTGAAAGTAATAGATTATGTGTTGAAAGGGATTTATTTTTCCTCCATACAGGTAAAAATAAAGGGCTGCCATTAATTTTGAACTGATTTTGTTTAATTCAAAAACATTTCTAAGAAGGGGAAACTAAGAACCTTAGACCTAATCACTTTTGAGTTTCTGGAAAATTAGTAGAAAAATTTGGATATAGTTTAGCTCATTGGATTTGTTAAGTATTAAATGGGCGCTTATATGTTTAACCAATCATAATTGTATGTTCTTTAAAATTTTTATATGGTACTTCTGTTGATTCAGTAAATATTTGCGGAGCGCTCTCAGCTTTATGCAGAGATACCCAGATACTTTGGGATATTCACAGTTGATATATAAGACATGCTTCCTGCCTTCATAAGATGAATAGGATAGTAAGATATATGATGGTGGTGCACACTATTACATAGAAAGTGCATTAGAGAATTGCAAAGCAGCCTGTATGTCAGGTCTAAGAAGGGATTAGGGAATTTTCATCAAGAAGGTAGTACTGAAGATGAACCCTTGAGGATGGGGGTAGTATTGTTCAATAGGGGAAGAAGAGGAGGAAGGCCATTCCAGAGAGGTCAGAGGACTGCTTAGGGACAGAAGGAAGAAGACAGAGAGTGGTTTAGATTGACTGGATCATAGCCAGTATAGGAGGAAAGGAATAATATGAAAGAAATTAAAAGATGTAGTGGTATCAGATTGTGGTGGTAGTATAATTTTTTTGGATTTCTATAGCACTTAAGCCACATTATACTCTTAATGTGAGTTCTGATTTAAAGTTATTTTTTGAAATTCAACCGTATAAATACTGCATTATGAAATTAATGTGCTTTTGGAATATTGAATATAAAATAAATAATAGAATTTTCCCTCCATTGACAGGCTATGTTTGTTCTTATATTTTTTTTTCCCAGAGGGCCACCCCCTTGCAGATCATGGTCACTCGTTAACCAAGGTGGTGGAATGTACAGTGATACAGAGAGTGCTGGAGGAAGCAGTGAATCAAGGTCCATGGATTCACCTTCTGGCAGTCCAGGTATATGATTTTTTTTTTAACTCTGGTACTGTTGGAGAGTTACAAATAGTGATAAAATTTAAAAGATTTAAAAGTGAATTTTATTGATTTTCGTTGATATTTTTTATCCCAAACTCTAACTTATGTCTAGTGCTCTTATTTCTCTGCCTGAAATGTTTCTAAGATGTCCTAACTTTTTTCTCTGATGTCACAGTTTGTATATATAAGATTTTTGTAAGGAACTCCCAGATAGAAATCTGTACCCATGAGACTCAGGTGACATCTGATCCACACCCCTACCCTTCCTTCCTTCCTGAACCATCCCTTGCTCTTTTAGGTTGGTTTTTGTGTTTGCCTCTGTCAGTATCCCTGGCCCTTCCCCTTCCCTTTTTAGCGACTCTGAATTCTGGGGGAGTGGTAGTGCTGTAGTCCTCCTTTGGTCAGAAAGTGCTGGAAGCAAAGCTTAAGTTATCTGTGCAAGTACTTGTGTAATTGAGCTTCATAAGACATATGTGAGTAATTTCTAGGAATTAATTACCTTCCACATTTTCCTGGTAAAACTGCTTCAGCCTCTTTTAGTAAGGAACCTTAGTGCTTTTCACATTTCCATGATGTATTCAATGTGACAATCCAAAGGCCACCATCAATTGTGTGTTTCTTTGCTATAGTCCATTCTGATGGCGTAGGGACCAGGACATAGGGGTTGGAATATAAGTTTAACACCCACCAAACACCAGTGCTCCATTTAAAATGGTCATACTGAGAAAGGGGGTAGAGCCAAGATGGTGGATTAGAAGCAACGCGGCTGAACTGTCTCAGCATTCCTCTCCAAACAGTTTAAAAATATCGCCTCACATCAAATTATGAAGCAGCAGAATGGTGGCAGTAATAATGGCTGTAGCAGCAGCTTAAGGAGATCTCAGCCCAGAGAAAGTAAAGGGTCAGCTGGTCAGAAAGTGATTACAAGGGGACCCTTTGCTGGCATTGGGTGCAGCTGGTGCTAATTGGCGATTTTGTTGCCCATTTACAATTCTGGGTTGCAATTCCAGGGTGGAGAGGAGCTAGGTGGGATGGGGGTAGGGGGGTGGAATCAGTTAAAAGGGAGAAGGGGACCTTGTCACAGTTTATTATATTCATATATCATAGTTTATTTTAGTCATTTTCCGATTGATAGACTTTTACCTTGTTTCTAATTTAATCATAACACCTTTTTTTTTCTTTTTTTTTTTTACAATATAACCTACTGTTAGTTTGAGAATTGTCTGTATTGAAGTTGGGGAGTGGAAGCAAATCTTTTATGTTGAAACTAGTAGAATATTGTAGCCTGTGAGACTCTGTGTGTGCTGTGTTCACATGTGTTTATGCATACTTAATTTGTTGTTTGATCAGTGTACTACTCCCTCCACTGATGTAGATGTACACTGTAACTTTTCTAACTTAATGGTGGCTTTTCTAGAGGTTCGTTGGCTAAAAAATTTCATCACTATGCAACTCACCTAGCGATGCAGCCCTTGGTCTCTGGTCTGGAGTCTGTCCCCAGGCCTTCCTGATTTGAAACACTGGCTTGGCCTGCAAGAACCATAACATGAGAAGGCACCAGAGTAGGCCGACTTTAGTGCAATACACACACACACACACACACATTAGTTACTGATATTTAAATAACCCATTTTACATTCTGCAAAATGCCTTCTGTGTATATAATGGCATTTGATCTTCACAAAAGCTCTTTGAGGTAGATGGTATAGGTGTATCCCAATTTACAGATGAGGAAATGGAGAGGTTACCTTGCCTATGACTACATAGCTGGTCAGAGGCAAAACTCAAACCAGTTCTTCCTAGTTCCAAGTCCAGAACTCTAGTCGTTATGTCACACACACACACACACACACACACACACACACACACACACACACCCTCTAAAATTCAACATAAATTGTCCTTTATAAAATGAAATCCTTATTGTTCAAATGAAAAATCTCTGTAATTGCATACACAAGAAGTTTTACTAGGTCTGTCTTTGTGTAGGAGCGTTTAAACGTCACCTTCCTCGAACACCATCAATGGGGACTATGTCATCTGCTGATGAGCTAAATGAAAGAGAGCCACCTTCTCCTTCTGAGATTGGTATTGTACATTGTACTTTATTTGATCCAATTTTAGTTATATGAATTATAGCTGTAGTGTATAGTAATGAATAAGACTTGAAATCTTAATATGAAAGTTGTATTTCTTTGGCTATTTATGCCAAATATTAATAATTTTTATAGTTCACATTTGCAAAGGCATTTTACACTTTAGAGAAAGTTTTCCTCAGAGCATCCCTATTAGTTGTAGATAGTATATAGAACATTATCCACATTTTAGAGGTGAGGAGGCTTAACACTCGGTGAAACTGTGACTTTCCCAAGGTCACACACCTGGTAAGTGATAGAGCTAGGTTTATTTATTCCTGATCTTGGGGACTTTTCATTACCCTCACACACTGCCCTTCACCAGACATGATGCTTTTAAGATAATACAAATAATTAGACCCCAAATGTGATTTGACAAATGTGTTAGCTCTAAGAATATTTTTCAGAAATAATTATTGCATGATGTCAGGGACAGAGACATAATGATGGATCAAAAATTCTGTTTTCATTAGACTAATAATGCATAGCACTTAACAGTTAAAGCAGTCCTATTCAGGGGATACAGTTCAAAACTCTGCATCAGGGAAGTGTAATTCTTGGTAGGGAAACTAATCAGATATGAAAATTAAAGAACATTCCAGGAAAGTAGTCATCTTGGTGACCAAGTTTATCTCACATCTGTTCATTTGATTAAGCACATTATATTACAAGCCTGAGGACCAAAAATCAATCTAAGAAGATGTTTTAGATATTTCTAGAGCATTCAGAGTTAGTAGAGACAGAAAGGACCTTAGACATCATCTAATCGAATGGTAAGGAAACTAAGGCCAATAGAGGGGAGAAGGATCTTACATAAGACAACACAGTATTAACAGAGGTAGGATTTGACCCTATGTACTCTGACTCCAAAATAATTTCTGTTTCTAGGTTTGTACAGTCATATCAGTAGGAAATTTCCTATCCCAAAAATAAGTTAATGAGCCTGTCTGATTGGGACTACATTAGATCTTTGGTTTAATGATGATGAAGATGATGATGATGATGTTGATGTTAATGATGATGGTGACACCATGACCTTTGCCTGAAGGAGCTCAGCTTGCCTTTTTTAAGGATAAGAATAGGCACATGCCTTAAACTGAAACAGAGAAGGAAAAGATACACTACCATATTATAATTAAACTGAGAAGAAATGATTGGTGTCCTCTTGGAAAGCCTGTGTTAATTAAGAGTAGGACTCAATGTGCAAATGAGGAAGTTGATGCATATGTTGATCTGAAGAGCATAAGGTGAATCAGTAGGAATAAATTCCTGATAAAATTTTTAGTCTTTTAGTTGATTTTATCTTAAAAGTCTTAGGTTGGTGTGGTGATTAAAAAAAGTTTTGGGGGGGGTGCAAATCTATCGGATGATATTATAAACATGCTACTTTGTCACAAGTATTGAAAAGTGCCAAGAGATTAAGATCATTGTTAAGTTCCTTAAGACTTATCATATGCTTCTGACCAATACTTTGATAAATATTGCTTTAAGATCAACATAATTGTAGTTTAATGAAATATTTTTTAAAAATAGCATAGGAAACTGGCCTCACATTATAAAAATTAGAAATACCTTTGCAAATGTACTTGTAAGGAAAATAATTTTGTTGCTTGCTTTAATGTCTTCTATTGCCAGTCTAAGTTAATTGCATGTTGTATTACCATCATTTTTTTTAAAGATAAATTTTGGCCAATGAGCATATTTTAAAGTCAAATAATATCTCCCTAGAAATATTAATCAATCATTTAATTTTTCTTTCAAGCCTCAAGTGAGCATCTAGCTGAAATTAGTTCTCCGGGACCATTTAGAAATGTCATCAAATCAAAAGCTGCTCTTAGCCATAAGTTTCGGAAGCTAAGAACGCCATCCAAATGTAAGGAATGTGACACCTTAGTTATATTCCCTGGGGCAGAGTGTATGGAGGTAAGAAATAACAGAAAATAATGCAACTTCTTGTTGTTTTTTAAAATGTTTTTAAAGATGTACTATAATAATTTACTGTTTTTCATAGTCAGTACTCCGTTAATAATTGAAGGGCTGAATATCTAAACTGAATAATTACGGAGTAATACAAAAACACTTTGATATTTCAGTGGGTTGGGTCCATGATCTCACTGATGTGGGTTCTCTCTCCACTGGTTTGGATTATAATTCTTTCCCCTTCTCATTCTATGTGATTATTGTCTCTCTTCTCATGTGTCTCCCTCCTCCTGATTTCTTGATAGGTAGCACAAGGGCTTTTGTCTCTTCTCTCCACTCTTGCTAACTCACCTCCTTTTCTGTCCCTGATAAGATAGATCCTTTACTCACTAAATGCACGTAATTCATTGAAATAGCGCTAGTGTCCCTCAATACCTTTTGTGCATCTCTCCATTGCCCTTTGCATGATCTCTCAGAGAGTGGGTTGTTACTCCTTATGTTGTGGGGAAACTCTGCTATTAGGAAGATGAGCCTTTGTTTTAGGAAGATGTTTGGAATCTTTGAAAGTAATGCATTGTTTCCCAAATCATTCCAAACCGCTCATTTCCTTATGTTTTTTTCTGTTGTTGTTCAGTCGCCTCAGTCATGTTTGACTCTTCATGAACCCCTTTTGGGGTTTTCTTGGCAAAAATACTAGAAGAGTTGGTCATTTTTTTCTCTCGCTCGTTTTATGGATGAGGAAACTGAGGCAAACAGGATTAAGTGACTTGCCTAGGGTCACACAGCTATTTAAGTGTCTGAAGCCAGATTTGAACTCAGAAAGGTGAGTCTTCCTGACTCCAGGCCTGACACACTATCCACTGTGCCACAGAAGTCAGAGGACTTTAGTAGGGGGAAGAGGAGGCAAACTCAGATTTCTAGCATTCTTCCCATTAGACTTCCAGTTTAGTCTGTTGGTCAACAAACATTTATTAAGCTTGTGCTTTGTGCCAGGCACTGTGCTAAATGTTAGTGACACAAAGAAAGGCAAAAGATAGTCCTTGTACTCAAGGAGCTCACAGTGGATAATGGAGTGGGGGTTGGGATGGGGGAGCAGTGAGTCACCACGTAAACCATACAGGTAAGATCTATACAGGTGAGTGAGGGTTGTCTCAGAGGGAAGGTGCTGAGATTGAGGAGCACTGGGAAAAACTTCTTGGCAGAAGGTGCATCTTTAGCTGAGATTTGAAGGAAACCAGAGGACTAGGAGGGAGAGATGAGGAGGGAGAGGGTTGATGGAGTGTCATGTGTAAGGAAGACAAAAGAGGCCAGAGTCATAGGATGGCAGAGTAAGTGAAGAGAGTAAGGTGAGAGAAGACTGGAAAGACAAGAGGGGAGCAGGTTATGAAGTCCTTTAAAAGGACTAAGGATTTCATATTTGATTCTGGAGGTAACAGGGAGATGACATGGTCAGACCTGGGCTTTAAGATCATTTTGGAAGCTGAGTGGAAGATGGACTGGATTGGGAAGAGATGAGTCAGGACAACCAACCAGAAGTCTATTGTAATAATCCCAAGCATTAGGTGATGAGGACCTGCACCAAGGTGGTGAAAGTGTCAGCATAGGAAAGGAGACATGTAGGGGAAATGTTATGAAGGTAGAAAATGACAACACGTGACAACTGATTGGATATAGAGGGTGAGAGTGAAGATGTGAGTCAACACCTAAGTTGTAAACCTGGGTGACTAGGAAGTTAATAATAGGGAAGTTAGGAAAATAGTGAGGATTAGGACAAGGAGAATAAGTTCTGTTTCACACATGTTTAAAATTTTTACAGGCCATCCAATTTGAGATTGTGTCTCCCACACATTCAGTTTAAAATATCCAACCAGTATTTGGTGCTGTGAGACTAAAGTTCAGGAGAGACTCAGGCTAGATATATAGATTTGGAAGTCATTTTCATGGATGGTTAAACCCATGGAAGACAATAAGGTTACCAAGAAAGTATAGGAGGAAATGAAGAGGATCCTGGATGTAGCCTTGGGAGGACTCACGATTGAGGGATGTAATATGAATAGTGATTCTGCAAAGGAGTTTGAGAAGGAATATTCAGAAAGGTGGTAGGAGAACCAGGAGAGAGTAATGTCACAGAGGAGAAAGAATGAATACCCAGGAATGAGAAAATGGTTAATAGATAGTGTCAAATGTAACAGAGAGGTCAAGAAGGATTAGAACTAAGAAAAGATCATCAAGCTTGGCAGTAAAGAGATCAGTGCTAACTTTGGAAAGAAGAATTTTCAGTTAAGTGATGAGTTGAGAAACTAGATTGCAGATGATTGAGTAAATGAGAGGATGAGGAAAAGAAAGCAATGAGTGGTCGATAACTTTTTTCAAGGACTAACTTGAAGGGATAACAGGGTCAGGTGTGTGATTTTTTTTTTTTTTTTTTAAGGCTGGAGGGAGACCTCGGTGTGTTCAAAAGCAGTAGGAAAGGATAGAGATAGTCGATAGAGAGGTTGAAGTAGGGAGAGGTGAAGAATGATTGACAAGGTGATCTGCTAGAGTATACGGGATAAACTGGATCATGGGTATGTATAGAGGGGTTAGCATTGTCAAGGAGAAAAGCTGCCTCAGCAGAAACTGGAGAATGGTGTAAAAGAGCTTTGAGCTGAAGAGAAAGAGGAGTTAATGGCCTGTAATCTTAGTTTTCTCAGTAAAACAAGAGGCAAGGTCTTTAAGCTGAGAGAACAAGATGGTGTATAGGAGAGTTGAGGAAGTAAGAATATATTTGGAATAGATTCTTTGGGGGGTGAGATAAGGAACCAGTTTAAGCAGGTTAAAAGAATTTGCCTTGCCTGAAGTAAGGCCCAAGTTGAAGTTGGATAATATGAATTTATAGTGTACTTGGTCAGCATGTCTTCCTTCATGGCACATGAAGGATCCCTCAGATTGTCAATACCTTGGGAGTATTAATGGGGATGGATGGCCAGAGTAATCTCGGATTGGTGTTTAGCAGTAGGACCAAAGCAGTGAGAGATTCAAGAATAGATGACGGTACAATGTGCAATTGATTGGGATAAGTAATTAATTGCTTAAGAAAATGCGCGGAAGTAGAGGGATTTGGAGCTTTTCAGGGCTCTGAAGAATGAGTTTAGGAGTGGTAAGGCACAGGGAGAGATGGAATGATAGGAAGCTTTGGTCAGATTGAGGGATATCTTGAGTTTGGGGTTAAGGAGTTAGGACCCTGATGAATAATGGTAAGATCTGGTGTGTAGCCATCCTTAGGTGTAGCTAGAATGGAGTAAATGAGTAGCTGATTAGGAAATTTAGGCATTGAGAGGCTAGAAAGTTTGAGAGAGCATCAAGAGGGACATTGAAGTGCCCCAGCTTAAGGGCAGGAATGGGGGAGCAGAAGATTCAGGCACTGAGCACCTTGGGAAGATGTACAGAATAGCCATTGTGATTTGAAAAGGATAGATAGAACATATTAATGCAATGAATTTCAAAAGAGCAAAGGTTACTTTAGTGATGGTAGGAAGGAGAAAGTCTAAAAGCATCAGTGGGGAGCATGGAGTATTCTAATGCCCTCTAAAGAACCAGTGGGTCAGGCAGGTAACAACCAGTGCTGGAGAGGGTGGCCAAGGATATAATATCTCCTGGAGGGAGCTAGATTTTGGAGCCAGTGGATAGAAGGAGTATGAGAAGAGGGATGAAAATGAAGTGAAGTTTATTCTCTGTTGAACAGAAAGCCTGCAGGAAGGAGGCAGAGGGAGATTGGGATGGGGCGTGGTAGATTAGAGGAGGTTGGGCATCATGAGTTAGTAATACCAGGGATAGGAAGAATAACATGGTGGAACTGGTTAGCCATGGTAGTCGTGGTGGGTGGCAGATGAATTATATTGTCACAGTTTTGACAGGGTGCTATTGCTAGACAAGATTGAGAGGCACAAGGTCTTGGTTACTTGTCCTGATCGTCCAGGCTGGCTGGGCAGGAAGGTAGAATTGGTCCATTCCTCTCCGCTCTGCTCTCCTCTCCCCATGCTATTTGTGTGGCTTCCTCCAGGGAGCCCTTTGCAGACATCTTTCCATTTAACAGCAGCTGCTTTTTGTATTGTGGTATGGCATCAAAAGCCACAACCTGGAGTCCTGCCAGTGGTCACTTGGGTCCTTGTCTTGCCTGTGACATTACTTAAAAATCCAAGAAAAGGTAAAGTCTCCCCAAATGACTTCAACTTGCCTTGAGACACTCCCACACCTGTACCTTCACCCCTTACCTGCGCATCACTGACACTGGCTGTGTGACCCTGAGTATGTTACTTAGTCTCTCAGTAAGTACTTGGAAAAAGCTCTTTCTGAGATGGGGCTGGCCTGCTTCAGCAGAGGGGGTTTCCTTATCCCTTAATCCATTTCTGATCCCTACAATAAGAATGTCAAATTTATATGATTAAGTACCTGCACCAAGTCTGCTCTTTGGTTATTGAACAAAGACCCCACAGGTAATTTGATGTTTGTAGATCATTTAGGTTTTATTTCTGCATTTGTTGTTAATATTTTATATGGCTCTAATAAATCACTCTACAGAATCTCCTTTCTTGTAGTGCTCCCTTGTGTGCCATAAAACGTGTTTGGAAACGTTAACCATCCAATGTGGGCACCAGAGACTTCATGGCAAATTACATCTATTTGGTGGAGAATTTGCTCTGGCTGCTAAAAATGCTCCTGATGGTATCCCTTTCATCATTAAAAAATGTATATCAGAAATTGAAAAGAGAGCCTTGCATGTGAAGGTATATTTTAACTTTGGTTATTTAAAATTTTAAACCGTAACAGATTTTGTTTTAGTAAGCATTGAATAGATTTTGTTAGAGAAAACCGTCGTTCAAATATTATGTAACCAATATTTAGTTTTCTAAGAAATAGTATCTTATGTAAGTTTAAACCACTTAATATTTTCTGGAATGTCAATCTGAAATATTTATTTCTTGGTGAAATCATCGTATTGAAATTCTTGTACCAAAGGAAACTTTTTTTTTTTTTTATACTTACTCTTTCCTTCTCTTTTAAGGGCATCTATCGGATGAATGGCGTTAAATTAAGAGTCGAAAAACTCTGCCAGGCCTTTGAAAATGGAAAAGATTTAGTAGAATTGTCAGAACTCTGTGAACATGATATCAGCAATGTTCTTAAGTTATATCTTCGTAAGGTAAAGAATCTCCACTTGAAATTTACTTCAAATTGAAACAAGAATCTCTGACTGTCTTTATTATGAGGGAATCTATTCTTTAATCATTCCTTACGATAACTGTTTAGCCCTAGAATCACTTTTTGCTGGTACAGTATATTGTCTATAATATGAAGTTCCTTTGAGCACTTGAAAGTCACCAGCTCCTCTCATCAACTCCAGTTAAAAGTAACCGGGAATTAACAAGAACCTCCAGCAACTAGGAGTGAACGATATCAGATTTCCTCGCAAACTTGAAGAAGACCCCAGAGGACCTGGAATCATATTCTGCCTCTACTTCTTTCTCTGACTGGGACCATAGCCAAATCATTTTACCTTAATTGGCTTCAGTTTCCTCCTTAGCAAACTGAGGGGCTTAGACTAAATAATTTATAAGGTTCTTATAAGGTGCTTAGATGCAGCTGGCAGTACAGTGGATAGAAGGCTTGGGCCTGCTGTCAGGAAGATCTAATTTGAATCTGGCCTCAGACACTTAGTTGTGTGACCCTGGTCAAACCACTTAATCTCTTCCTGCCTCAGTTTCTTCAACTGTAAGATGGAAATAATAATAGCACCTACTGCCCAGAGTTGTTGTGAGTATCAAATGAGATCTTATTTGTGAGAAGACTTTAGAACAGTTCCTGGCATATAGTAGGTGCTCTGTAAATACATATTCCCTCATTCCCCCTCCCACATCCTTTGATCTTTAAAAGTAACCAGGGCAGTTGCCCCAGAAGGAGTTAACAGTTCAGTGAGGGAGCTACACTGAGTATTTGAAAGAGGCAGAAGAGCTACATTATCTGCAATACTTGGAGCATCAGAGAACCAGAATTTCACTGTAATTCTTACTATTGAACCAGAGAATCCACAGTGCTCAAAATGCCCATGGGTCAGTAGGTGGAAGAACATTTCATTCGTGAGATGAATAATGATGTTTTGAGGGGAGTTTTTCTTTTGACTGTCTCCTGTGGAATTGGAGTTTTGTTTCTCAATTGGCTAAATAAGATGTGTCCCAGAGCTAGTTAGTTGCAGGGCCAGGATGTGTACCCTGATCCTCTGCCTCCCAGTATGTTCGCTTAGTGTTCCCTTTGGAAAGACTGTTCTCTCACTCTCATTTTTCAGCTTATACACAGTAAGGCTCTGTAGTCTTCTTTTCCCCTCCTTATACACTAGTAAGATAAAGTCATGTCATAAACCAAAATCAGCCAATTAGGGTGCAGTGGATTTATCCAGATCCAACCTGTCTTTCAAGGCAGGTCATTTAGGTGACACCCGAGATTCCTCTAGCTGCAAGTACCTTCAGTTTCCCACTGCCAGCCTACCTCTCATAGCCTTTTGCCCTCTTCACTTAGCACATTCTCCCATATATTATAGTCCTTTGTGAAGCCATATTAGTTACTCTCTTGCCCCTCCCTGAATACCCTGAGTAGAGAAGCATCGAGAGATCCAAGCTTTATTTTTTATCCCCACAGCATCTAACCCAATACTTTGCCAATTACTTAGGTGTTTATTAAATGCTTGTTGAATGAACTAGGGTTGAAGCAGAAGCTGGTCTAGTGTTCTAAGGCTTTAATCTCTTTAAAGAAAAATGCTAGATTAAACAGGATATGATGATGACCAGGATAAAAATAGATAGTGTAATGTGCAGGCTGGCATTCCTAATATGTTTTTATTCCTTTTAGTTACCAGAACCCTTATTTTTGTTTCATCTTTATGATGAGCTTATTGGTCTTGCCAAAGAGAGCCAGAATGTAAATGAAGACTCAAAACCAACAAGCCCTGAAGCTGAGAGTGCTGAACTAAGTAAAGTCCTGAAGAAAATCAAAGCTCTTCTAAAAAAACTTCCAGGACCAAACTATAATACTATTGAGTACCTTATTGGCCATCTTAATAGGTAAGAGATTTACCTTAAAGAATATCTCCTTTCTTGTGAATCCAAATGGGCAAATGTGGAGTTGGGTGTCGTGGTTTCTTTTGTTTTGTTTTGTTTTGCTAGTGGGTAGCCTGGAGCAGTAGAAGTAATCTTGGTGGACATGGATTTAGGGTCACCTTTTTTTCATCTAATAACTTGAAAAAACTATTGCTTCTCCTTCTTTACCACAGTTCCTACTATGTATATCTTGTGCTGGTGTATAGTTGGTAGTATGGAATCCTACTGACACCTAGAGAGGTGGTGAAGAAAGATAACTGAATCCAGCTTCATCATTGCAAATCTTTCACCACTTCCTAAGCCAAAAAGAAAGCCTAGCAGACTTGACAGCCCATCTCCCCTGTTTTCCTCTCCAGGGTGGTCCAGAAGGCTGAAGAAAACAAGATGCCGGCCAGTAATCTGGGGATAATATTTGGACCAACTCTGATCAGGCCTCGGCAAACAGATGCCAAGGTTTCCCTTTCCTCACTGGTGGACTGCACTCATCAGGCTCGATTTGTGGAGCTCCTTATATCTTATTATGAGAAGATTTTTGATGTTTCCATGCAACCACTCTCAGCTTCTTCTACCATTGAAAGCCCCACCGTGGAGCCCCAAAAGCCCAACTCATGTCTTGGTTCAAAGCAAGTGAGTGGTGCCGAATATTAAATTACGCCTGTGGAGTTTGTGGAGTTTGCATGAATGAATATCAGCTATTTGACCCATTCCATATAAGTGTATTTACTTTTGTAACCTATTTTTTTTATTCTATTCCATCAATAGGGCATCTCACTTTCTCATAATGAGAGTGTAATTTCAGAAACAGCTACATCATTTGAGGGATCATATGATCATAAAAATGCACTAGAAGGAGCTGATGCATCTGTGATCAGTGAGTAACTATTTGCAAAACTCACTATGGTAGGATGGTAGTGTTCATGGTGGGGAGTAATGTATAAGAAGACTGGAAAGGTAGAAAGGGAGGTGGCAGGTTATAAGGAGCTCTTGCTGCCAGAAAAAGGATTCTAGATCTGTTCCTAGAAGTAATAGGAAGCCACTAGAGTTTTTTGAGTAGAGGAGCAGACATAGTCAGTCCATCTTGTAGAAAATCATCTTTTTCCTGGTAGGATAAAGTGGAGTGGACAGAGCTGAGATAGACGAGTAAGCTGCTGAACTCATCCAGGGAAGGGACAATGACCAGCGTAACCAAGGGGGCTAACTATATGTGATTGGAAGAAGAGGCTGCCTGTATGGGACAGATGTGGCTGCAGGAACAGGAAGGTTTTGGAGAGTGAATGGCAGATCAGGGTCTTCTATTCTCCCTACTCAGCATCTTCAGGCATGGCTGCTGATCATCATTGGAACAGGCGCCAGGCACTTCACCATCTTGGTCTTTCTGCTCAAGGAGCACTTAAGTTTAAGTCTGAGTCCTTCCTACACTGAGGGTCCCAGAACCCTCACAGGCTCCAGCCAGGCCATGACCAGAGCAGGCTAGAGTGGCCCTTCTCTCCTCCACATAGAATTCTGGACTTGGAGTGAGTAAGTCTTGAGTTCAAATCCTACTTGAGACACAAACTATGTGACCCCTGGGCAAGTAACTTCACTTCTCTGTGCCTCAGTTTCCTCTTTGGGAGAATAGGGATAAGCCTAGTCACTACCTCTCAGGGTCATTGTAAGGCTCAAATGAGATATTTGTAAAATCCTTTCCAAACCTGAAACCACTATAGAAATGATAACTATATTGTTACTGTTATATTTGTGTCTTACAGACTATATAATTTGTTAGTCAACAAGTACTTGTTAAGCACTTATGTGCGAGGCACCAGGGATACAAGTGCAGTTATTCCTTCCACGTCACAGGAGTTGGGAGCGCAGCATCCCCACAATCTGGAAATCTGTGTAAAATTTTTTGGCCCTTCCTTCAAACCAGAAAAGGCTGAATTTTTTATTTTTCTTTTATGGGATTTTTAAAGTACCCTATTGTAAAATTTGGGTTAAGCATTTGGTCATAGGTTCTGTGTCATCTGCATCTTCCTAAAAAATTCACGTTTAATTTCTTTTGCCAGCCTGCGACATATCTAAACTATATCCTAACCACAATGGGGAAAGCATCAATGTAGAAAGGATAACTGTATAAAGAATAAATAGATCCTTGCATGCATGGAATTTACATTCTAATGGGGATAGATATAGAGAGGTGCAGCATAAATACAACAGTAAATATAGATGAAGACCAAGAACTTAAGTACCAGGAAATTTGGGAGTTAGAGCAAGATCACTAACAGTTGGGGTCAGGAAACGTTTCTTGTGGAAGATGGCGCCCGAGCTGGATCTTAAAAGAAGAGAATGTCTCTGAAGTGGAATCCATAAGGAGTTCGGACAACCTTCTAGTTGTGAGGGACAGCCACTGGGAAGTCCCAGAGCTGGGTGTCCCAAGTGAGAAACAGGACAGTTTGGCTGAAGCAGAGTAATAACAAGAATAAGAATAGCTAGCATTTATGTAGCACCTGCTATGTGCCAGGTACTGTGCTAGTGCTTCACAATTACTATTTCATTTGATCCTCACCACAACTCCAGCAGGTAGGCGCTATTATTATCCCCATTTTACAGTCCAGGAAACTGTAACAGACAGAGGTGAAGTGACTTGCCCAGGCCAAGTAACTCTGCCCCCAGTTGCCTAATGAGTGTGAGAGGGAGAGTCATGTCCGGTGAGGCTGGGAAGCTAAGTGGAGGCCAGGTTCCAAAGGGGTTTAATAGCTAAATACTGGAGTCTGTATTTGATCCTCCAGGCAAAGGAGAATCCCTGCAGTTAAATCACATGGTCAGATCTGTCATGAATTAAGGAAAATCACTTTGGCAACAGTAACAGTTCAGGAGAGAGATTGGAGTGGGGAAAATCAGGGAGACTAGTGAGAAGGCTCTGGCAGTAGTCCGGATGAACTAAGGTGGTAGCTGCCAACAGGGAGAAGGAGTGAGATTGAAGAGATGTTTGGAAGCAGAAGCCCAGACTTGGCAGCTCACCATGTGGGGAGGAAGAGGAGCCCACATGATGCTGAGGTCACAGGCTTGAGACTCTGGACGGATGGTGGGGCCTTTGACAGAAACAGGGATGTTTTGAAAGAAAAGGGGGGGTTAGGGCAAAAGATGATGAGCTTAGTTTTAGATTTGTCGAGTATGAGATTTTGCCAAGACATCACGCTTAAAATGTCCAGTAGGCATTTGATGAGCATAGAGAAAGGTAGAATAGCGATAGATTATGGTCATATAGGGAAAGCCAGAGGGTCTAATAAGAGAAGTGGACAATTGCTATTTGTGGCTGAGGTGTGAAGTAAAGGAGGAGACATGGAGGGAAGAAGTGAGGATAAAAGGAAGATGATGACGAGCTAGGTGAGCACTAAACCAATTTTTAGAGTGTGTCTCTTATTAAGAAATGTATGTCCAGATGAGAAATTCCCTAAGAGCAGCCAAACAAAAGTAGTAGCAGTAGTAGCAGCAACAGCAGTAGTAGTAATAGTGGTGGTTGTGGTGGTTGTGGTAGTAGTAGTATTAGTGGTAGTGGTGGAGGTAGTAGCAGCTGTAATACTAGTGGTGGTGGGTAGGTGGTAGTAGCAGTGGTAGTAGTAAGTAATAGTAGTCATTAGTAGTAGTAGTAGTAATTGGGTTGTAAGTATTAGTAGTAGTTAGTAACAGTAGTAGTAGAACTTCTTAAGGGCTTCTTCTTAAACTCAATGGGTTAAATTCCATTTTTGTTAGGAATGAATGGGGAATGTTACTTTGGGGGAGAATTCATTGTTCTTAATGTAGTCATTGTTGCCAGTATCTCTGTTACCCTTTATCTCTTGCATTCCAGGATCTGTTGTAGGGAGTTTGATGCTTCTTTACTTTATGATCTTCCTTTCCTATCTCTTCTTCCCTTTCTGCTAGAAGCTGTGACTCCTACTTGTAGAAATTCTTCTCTTAGAGGTTTAAACAGCCAGGCACTGAAAATTAGGCTGATTCATTGTGATGTAGTGCACCAGCATCTTCACAGTTCTCTTCTTATCACTTCTGAAAAAGCCCCACATTGTTGCTAGGTACTAGAGCTCTTGAGCATTTTACTGTTGCTATGCCTGGTTGTTTTCTCTAATTAGTACATATTTGTGATTGGAAATCTTCACTTCTGGCCAGAAATTGGTCATTTATATTATTCCATCGCATCATTTCTCTTTTAAGCAAAAAGGAAGGGGAAAAAAGCTAAATTAATGTTAGAATTCAGTACAGCTGACAAGCAGGTTAATTTAAGCAAGTTACAGTCTGGGGTAAGGACTTGTAGTGTGTCACTAAAGTATATTCTGCATCAAGTGTTTTATTGGAACAGAATGATAGTAGAAAGCCTACATTATATTTTTCTTTACAAATGTTCATTTTTCCAAAGAAAAGTAAATTTTGTCAGATGAGTCATAACAAGAATAATAAGTTCATTGTTCTTATGTATTTTCCATGCTGGGATAAGCTTATGAGATCCTTATGAGTTTTGCTTCTCTCTATGAGAATAATTAGATGCCCCTATAACTTAAGGTACCCACATTTAGAGTGTGTGAAAATGGAAATTAACATCCAGTTATTACTTCTTTCAGAAAATACTGTGTCTTCAGGTTTTGATGAGACTGAAGGCTACTTCTTCAAGAATGAAGATCATTTTAAAACTGACAGTCGTTCAAATGTAAAATGTAATCCAGTAATCTTGAGATCTCCAAGGATAAAGACATCCGTTAGACCTGTGAGTCTGCCAGTAGATCGATTCCGTCTTCCAAACTTTTTAAATGAGAACAATTCCAAAAATATGGGAACTTTAAATTCAGACAAATTTGGTAGGAGTTCAACCAGTGAAGAAATGTCTGAACCAAAATCTTTTCCTAACTCATCCTCTAGACTTTGTTGTTATGACCCAAAAACTTGGGACAAACAAGTTAGACAATATGATTTAAGTACAAGGACTACAGTGATTTTGCCCAGTACACTCCAGGAAAATAGAGAACCAGAGAGTAGTGCTACTTGTGTTTTGTCTTCCATCTCTGATAACCCTTCATCCAGTGTCGTGCAACTCAGCCAGCCAGACATGGTACCAGTGCAAGTGGTAAGAGTAGCAACAGAAGGAAGCTCTTTGGAATCTAATCCTCTTGCTGCTTTCAGGGCACGGAGAACTTTGCAGCCCCCACCAGGGACATTTTATATGCCACCTTCCAACAATAAGGTAAAGGGAAATGAGGAAAGTTTTCCAGAAACTTACACCACAGCACCTATTAGTGTCGGTCAAGAAAATACTGTGAATTTTGTTGTGAACTCAGATTCACCTGGACAGCGAGTAAATCACCTCAAAGCTAGCCCTAAGGAACTTCATTCATCTGATGTGAAACCAGTAGTTTGCCAGAGACTGAGACCAAAACGGATTCAAGACTTAGAGCAAAGAGAAGCACAGTTTGTATAGGATTGCCAAATCTTGTGTTTTACTTTTATTTTTATTTTTGGTTTAGAGATAATAGGAATGTTATAGGAAATTTGTCCATAGTAGGATGATAAGGAAAGTTTGAGTATCTTCATTGAGACCACTTTTGTGCCATATTTGAATTATTTTTATAGGCATCATTTTAAAATTTAGGTTGGAAGGGTATTATGAACTAAAAATGAAGTTATTTTTTAGTTTAGTAAGTTGTTTTGTTTTTTAGAGCAAAGAGAAGCACAGTTTGTATAGGGTTGCCAAATGTTGCATTTAATTTTTATTTTTAGTTGAGAGAAAGGATAATAGGAATGTTGTGGGAGTCTGTACATAGTCGAGTAATAAGGAGAGATCAAGTATCTTCATTGGGACCACTTTTGTGCCATATATGAATTATTTTTATAGGCATCATTTTAAAAGTTAGGCTGGAAGGGTATTATGAACTAAAATGAAGTTGATTTATTTTTTTTGTTTAGTAAGTTGTTTTGTGTTTTTTTTTTATATGAGAGTCTATTTAAATGTATCTCCAATAAAATGCTTGAGCTAATAGGTGCAATTGCAAAAGCTTCAGTTTCTGAAGTGGATCTTAAGTGCTTATTCATATGGAAAAAATAGTATTTCCTTATGCAAAGCTTAAAATTTCTTAGTATAAATTATGTGGTTTTAAAACAGTCTGAATTTAAATTCTTGTGTTTTTTTTATATAAAAGCTTCAGTTTTTCAATCTGTGCAATTCCATGTTTTTCTCCTTAATGGATTATCTAATGGCCAAATTGGCTTATCACTGTATTATATATATTTTTATGCTTATATTTTCATTTGTTGCAAATTTTTATGTGTTGTCACTTTAATTGTACCAAGAAGATGCACTTAGTAAGCTGCAGAGGTAGAAGGGGTGATAGTGGGGTGATAGTATGTGTGTTGTGGAGGGCAGAAAATAAGCAAGATGGAAGAGCATGGTCCCATATGATTGAGAGGTAGCTTCTCCCAGGCATGGTTTTAGGAAGCTCTTTTTGACGGTAAGCTGGCAGAGGGGGAAAAGGCCACCAAGGTGAAGAAGTATGGTCTCCAGGTATTGAAGCTAAGTGCAATACCTCCTCCGTGGCATATTCTCTCTAATCTCCTTAGATGTTGGAGCAGCAGTTGGCCTCTTAGGATTGGGAATGGTACTAGAATTCCCAGTTTGTGAAGTCATTGACTCTCGTGTTTATGTTTGCTTTGTATTTCTGTTTGTCTAAACTTGAGTACACAATGTGGGTCAAAATAAACAGAATGTCCTCATTTAGTATATGCATCTGATATACACCTTATATTAGATGTTTTTATGCAATCATGTTACAATTGCTAAACACAATAAACATTAACTTTTTAACCTATTTAAAGGACTCATTTTTTTTATTAACCTATCTCAAGGATTTGTCACCTTTTAACTTAGAGATTTAGGGGCTCATTAAGTTTTCACTGTATGTTATGTGTTAAATACTTGGATTTATGGAATATAACATTGGGAAGGAATGAGGGAGATTTTGTTTATAAAAATTTTTGTTAATTTGGATCTGATATTTCATCTATATTGGAGGTTCCAGATAGAAACTCCTATCAGCGATATAGATCAGCAACTTATTTGTAGCTTACTTGCTGTTTGTACTTCATTCTTGAAGAGTACCATGACATCAGGGAGGTGGTACCATGACATGCAAAATATTCCCTGCTCTGTCTTTTTAAATACTTAGTTGTGAGTTATATTGAAGTCCTTGTTCAAAAGAAATATTTGCTTACTCTTTGAGTAGATAACTATTTACTATTCAAATCACATTTGAATTTTGTTATACTTTTATTATGAACTAGCCAGACATCAGCAAATTTAAATGTTTTCCTCATGCAGAGAAAAATGGAAAAAGAAGATTTTATGTGAAACCATGGATCTTCACTTTATATATCTTATTTTTTTAAAAAAACTATATTTCAAATTTAGCATGGCTATTCTAGTATCGGCCTGTTTATCTGTGAACTTCTGTTTCTTCGTTTATTTTTAGTATCACTGCTCCACCCTGCCCCCAATATTTTATTTCACTTTTTTACTTAAATATCTATTTGGTTTCCTGTCTTCCCTCCTCATATTTAGAAAAATAGAAAGGAGAGGAGAAGGGGGAGGGAAACCTTATAACAAATAAAGTCAAAACAAATTACTGCATTAGCCATGTCCAAAAAATAAGTCTCAATCTGTACCCTGAGTCTGTCACCTCTGTCCAGAGGTAGATAACAAGCTTCATCATGGTTGGTCATTTTATTGATCAGATTTCATAAGTCTTTCCAAGTTGTTTGTCTTTATGGTATTGTTATTATATAAATTGTTCTGATTCTACTCCCTTCATTTTTATCACAAGTTTTCTTAGATTTCTCTGAAATCATCCCCTTCATCATTTCTTAGACACACAATAGTATTCCATTACATTCATATACCTTTTGTCCAGCCATTCTGCAGCTGATGAGCACCCTCTTAATTTCCAGTCCTTTGCCGTCATAAAGAAGAGCTGCTATAAATCTTACATAGTGGATATGGATTCTTTTCCTCATTATTTGATCTTTTTGGGATATGAGCTTAGTAGTGGTTTTACTGAGTCAAAGGAACAGTGCTTCCAAAGTTACTAAATTACACTTACGTACCTTTGGGAGTGTTTTTCCAAATTGTTCCAAATACCAGATTTCCAAAATGGCTTAACCAATTCACAGCACCACCAATAGTGCATTAAAGTTTGCCTGTAATGTTTAGGTGGCATAGTGAATATAGCACCAGGCCTGGAGTCAGGAAAATTCTTCTTCCTGAGTTCAAATACGGTTTCACTAGCTGTGTGACTCTGGGCAAGTCATTTAACTCTATTTGCCTCACTTTCCTCATCTGTAAAATGAACTGATAAACCACTCTAGTATCTTTGCCAAGAAAACCCAAATGGGGTCATGAAGAGTTGGACATGACTGAATAATGACTTAACAACAACGGAACAACATAACCCTTCCAAACATTTGTCATTTTCCTTTTTTGTCAACTTTGCCAGTCTCGTGAGTGTGAGGTGGAAACTCAAAAGTTGCTTTAGTTTACATTTCTCTGATAGTGATTTGGAGCATTTTTTCATATTGCTATAGATAACTTAGATTTCTTCTTTTGAGAACTGCCTTCTCATATCCTTTGATTGAGGAATGGTTCTTATTCTTATGAATTGGAATACACACCTTATGCATCTTGAATATCAGACTTTATAAGGGAAATTTATTGCTCATATTTTTCCTCCAGGCATCTGTCTCCCTTCTAATCTTTGTGCAAACACTTTTTAATTTTGTCTAATCAAACTTGTCCGTTTTGTCTTCTGTGATCTTCTCTGTCCTTCGTTTGGTTATGAACTCTACCTCTCCGTATATTTGAAAGATAATTTCCTTGCTGCTCAAATTTGTTTACAATGTGAGTCTTTATGTCTAGGTCATGTGTCCATTTGGAACTGATGTGGCTGTTATCTTATAAGAGAATGTTACTTGTAATTTGCATAAAAATTGAATAGTATAGGAAGGTAATACCCTGGAAGACGAGTATTCAGCAAACTCTTAGAGTATGAATTAGAGTCTAAGTCATCTCTGTTGCATTATTTTGACTGTGAATAGGAATAGTGTTCTTGTTACCAATGCTTTGGTATCTGTAACTTCCTGTCCTAGCCTGTCCTTCCAGGTATCTTCCTAAACACTCACTCCTAAGCTCCAGCAGATACATACAGAGGCTCTGGTAAGGTTTGTCATAGGGTGTTGAGGTTGAAGTCAGCTTTCTGCTTTCTGTGAACTCTTTCTAGTTTCTTCCGAAGGAATAGAGACAATCCTTGAGGTGATGTTGCTGTTTATTTAATATGCAGCCATAGTATATGAGGTACAAGAAGGTCTTAAAAGTTAGATGCCCTAGAACTGTATCAGGTTTTGAGGGCAATTGAAGAATATCTTGAGAATCATTCTCTCCATGTCCTCAAAATTTCATCTCCAGACATATAAGATCTCCTCTCTATATGCTTAGTCTAGCTGTTCTTCCCATTTTTGTATTCTTGAGTGCCACTTCTATTTCCTTGGGCAGAACATCAGGAACTTAGAAAATCCAGAGGTAGTAGCTCTGATTGATACATGGAAAGTTTGTTGTAAAAATCATGATACATCTTTTCCAATTTTTCACCTGTTGTCCTTCCAGTTTCAGCCTCATGGGGTGATTTGCTCTCTCTTCCTGATCTGTCTGTAAATGTGCTTTTTCTTTCACTGCTTTATGGAATGATGCTCTTCAAACGTCCATTTTCTTTCTCTACAAGATGAAACAAACAACTTTATATTCTAAACTGATGTTGTCCGTGGCTGCTATATTTCACTGTTTGACAAGAAGGACAAGTGTTTGCTGGCAAAGGCAGTGCCTAGGCTCTTTTGGCCTTCTCATTGATGGTCACTGATTTCTACCAGTTAATAATGTTCCTCAGGAAATGGTGATAGTTTTTCTTTGTTTGATTTCCCATTTCTTGTTGTTACCTTGTTTAAATAGGTCAAGCAGATGTTAGGTCTCAACTGAGTACCCATATCTCTTCGCTTTAATTCTTATAATTTAGTATGGATTTTGACATTGCTCTGACAATTATTGCCTACCTAAATAAATCACTAGGACCCAGTTGTCATTCTGTAGTCTATCATTGTTTGGCCTCCAAGTTTTCTCTCTTCTGAGAAAAAAATACTGTGAACTGCAAAATCAACAGCCTGGAAAGCTGGATAGAAGGCGATCCTGATTCTCTATTGCAGCCTACTTCCTGATGCCAAGAAATGACAATAATTAAGTGCTGTCACCAGGAGCCTATTAGTCAAGGCCAAAGGAGTTTTTGTATATTGTTAAACCAAGTCTCATTGTAATTACTTGCCAGTGGTATTGGTGGTATTGTCTGATGTGCTTTCTAATTTTTATAGTTTTAAAAGACTTCAAAAATAATTGGGGGAAAATCTGGTGCCCAGATTATCACTATTAGAATGTATCTATCACATACTTATATGACAGTGCTTAATCAGAGAGCTGACACAGTAAAAGCTTAGTGATTTCCTTTAATCTATTTAGAATTGAGTTGGATACTTGAACTAGCTGCCCAAGAGAAACTGGTTTCTCAGTAGCTCTTAAGAAGCCTCATTAGTCAAAAAGGCTGTAGGATTTGTTTTCTTTTTATGTGAGGTTAAAACTGAGGTTTATTTTTACATGTAGGTGTGCCTGTGGTAAATGTGTGTGTGTGTGTGTGTGTGTGTGTGTGTATGGCATGCTGTAGTCTCACTTTTACCAGGTGATATTGTTGCCCTTTAGCAAAGTCTAGTAACTTTACAGAACAAATCCCCTTAATAAAAGGATTTGTTCTGTAAAGCTTGGACTCAGTCAAAAGGCTGCACCCAAGGACCTAGAAGGCCCCATGGGCCTCAAGGCTGCAGGCTCCCTACCCCTGGCTAGTTATTTGTGCTTATGTTATGTAACCAAGACCTGGCTATCACTGACCTCAGAGCCTCCCCAAATCAATGTTCTCCATGGCAAACCTGGAGAGAAAACAGATTTCTGGCCCAAAGATTGTATCAGAACCCTTTTAATCTTACCTTCTTGAGTTTGAGAGAGGCACAGGGTCTTTAATAATCATTTAAGTATTAAAAATGCAAACAATTAGCTAGGATGCTAAAGAAGCCTTTGTCTTAGTGTCCCTCTCAAAAAAAAAAAAGTTCTCCTGGAAAGGTTAGGAAGTTCCAGTGGAATTGTATTTTATGTAACTTTCTTTTTATATGTTTAATATAATAGTAATCATGTCAAAACCAGGCAGAATTGGGAAAGAATTGAGGTATTTTCTTAAACAAATATCCATTTTTACATATATATATGTATATATATAGTTTTTTACAAACTAACCTTCATTTTGAAAGTTTAAAGGAATCCTTAACATTTGCCCCAAAAATAGTTGATGGAGTATTCCCCAGCAGCAGTATTTAGAATATCCACAACTATTTTCATTCTAATTAAATAGTACCTTGTACCCTTTCAATACCTAAATGACATCTACCTTTGTCTCTTAATTCATCTTATATATTCACGTCTTATATTATGGTTTTTATTCTGAATTACATCTATGCCACTGTTGTCTGTACTATATTGTAAATTCCCAGAGGGCACTGTGTTTACATTTTCTTTTTATTTTTCTTTTTTAGTTTTTTTTAATTAATTTATTTTTGGTTTCCAACATTCCCTTCCATAACATTTTGAGTTCAAAATTTTCTCCCCATCTTTCCCCTCCCACCACCCCAAGACAGCATGCAATCTGATATAGGCTCTAGATATACA